GTAAAAAGAGGAAGAAGATGGATAGAACAGTCGTCTAACCAAGCCATGGTCTGTGATGGCAATTACAGCTATATAAATCCATCTTCTTTCTCTTTTTACTTTATCTGGTACCTACAGTGTAGTGTTGATAACTTCTGTTGATCTGCCACCTGTCATACCTTAATTTGTAAGAGTATGTTAACAATGTAAAGGAAATAAAACCCCTCATCAGTTCCCGCACATTAACTGTAAGAAGAGGTAAGTTTCCGAAGGTGCGAGCAGGCAGGTAGAAACATAAAGCTACATAAACTGTGAGGAAAGGCTGCAGGCTACAGAGGAGCATAAAAGTTTCACTGTCTCACTTCATGCCCTTTCAAGCATCTGCTCATGTGGAAACACCGTTAAATTCCTGCCTCATCTCAGCGATCAAATCTCACAGAGTGAATGGATATTCTGTATTCTCCACACAAACAATGCACATCCGAAACACACCTGAATGTGCTCTTTTACTGAGTCACATAATCCTCCTGTGTGGTCTGAGGACTGTGCTCATACTGTGGACGGGTAAGGATACAAACAATGACTCATTAATGCTCAGGCATTTTAGGATTTCAAGACACTTCATCACCAGCTCCAGTGCATTTTTGTCATATTTGTATGATGAGATCATTGTCTGTGTCATTTATTTATGAAAAATTAAGCTTTAAGTTACTAAATTCAGCTTTTGCCTCAGTCAGCATGTTTAGATATTGTTCAAAACATCGAAAGACTGAGTTAGTTCAACTTTGATACTGCATGTAAATATGAGTTCAACTAGAATTACACTAGCAGAGCCCGGCGCACAGCCAGTTTGGTATTTTCGTAGACTGAGGCGCACCGAGGTGCACCAAACTGGGCGTGGTGGCACGGTAGGGCGAGGTGTCGACAGAATCAGCGGGCGCAGTGACGTTTCGTGCTTCCATTATTGGAATTTATGTTGTGATCTGTGCGCTCAACCCACCTTTGTCACGTGAGGTTTGAATAAGTGCAACTTGATGTGAGTGTATTTATTTGTGGTAAAGGGTGTTTGTCTTACCCGTGGGTACAACCTTACACACACCAAATCCATCTGTGCTCAGATGGGAGAGTGTGAAGGACGCCCTCTGAAGCGCTTACAGCAATACTTGTTGAGGGGCTGCCTTTGACTACTTCACAAAAGTTGTAATACGCCTCGCTGGGGGGCAGATTTAAAGGTGAGGAGAGGTGCTGATGTGATTGGTGAAAACAGGTCTCGGCTGTTTTAAACTCACTCCACGCCTTATCCCCTCCCTCTTTTTGACTTACGCCGCTGGGAGGAGCTGAGTTAGGGAGGGGGGGGATACTTACGCCGGGCTGCGTTGCTCACCAAAATACCAAAATGTGCTTGGGAATGCCTTATCGGAGGACCTGACTTTCGCTGTGCCGGCGCCATGCCACCGCCGGCGCCACGAGAACAGAGTCCAAGGTGTTACTTTTTACTCAGCACTTCAGCCAGCGAATGACCTTAAGTTGTGTCATCACAGAAAATGTCTAAGGCTAGCTTAGACAGCTCTACAAATACATTTGCTTTTGCTGCATTGCTTGTTATTATAATGTGACCTTCAGCTTTAAGCCTCCATGAAAGGTCTTTATAGATAGAACAGCCCAGGTTTCAGTAACAGTTTAGACACAAATCCAGCTTGTACTGGTCTTTGTTTATGAAGTAGTCATCAGTGAAAGACCCAGCACAAACAGCTATGTTGTTGTCCTGAAACCAAAAGACGACTTCTCACTGTGCTTTTCTGAGACACACAGAGCAGAAATAAAAAATTCTGAGCAGTAATATAGACTTTTTAACTTTGGGGGGGACGTGACTTTCAATATTGTGAGTTTGGACTGGGACCTGTCATCTGGGACCCGGCTCTACCGTCATAGTGCACTAGTTGGGCCACTCCAGTCAAATAAGTCTAGGCGCACCCCTGCCTTTGATGGATTGTACTATGTATATAAAAAAAGTGATTCTAACATATCTTTTAACATATCCTTCTGTGGAGGTCCTCTGTCTTTTCTGTTTCTCTCATGATTTGCTTGAATAGAATGGCAGCGAGAGGCGGTAAAAGCATTTCTCAAAAGTTACAGTAAACCACGCTTCCAAAGAAGAGAGTAAAATTAAAGTCTCTTGAGAGGAGCTTATTTGCATTCCTCTATGATGAACTCTGCGATGCTTGCAGGGACAGTAAACGTGAAATTGATGACTCATCTCTTACCAATTCAAAGTCATGGCCAAGAATGTGTAATCCTTGTTACAATCCTGTGATGAGGTTGTGACTGCACTGCTCTTGAAATTGTCTCTGTGATCTGTTGTTTTCCGCTGTTGCTAAGGACACTATCTCATCCTGACACACGACTCTGACGTCAAACAATGCTCTCATCTTCTCAAATAATCCTCCAGGTGCCGCCTGGGTGGTTAATTCAGCACAAGCAGAGAGAGGGCCTGCTTTTTCAATCCGGAGCATCGTCCATTCATTCATACTCAGTGACGCGTTTACTTGCACATGCTGCGAGTGATTCTGCCTGCTGGTCTATGTGTTGAAAGGAGGCTCTTAAGATGACAGATTTGTGACATTAGGCACGTGCTGAAGATATTAGAGCATGCTTTCACTTTTTCCCTCATTAGCTCGCAGCCTTTGTTTCATTTTAAAGGGAAGGGTGAAATTTATATCCGACAAACAGGACCAATATTTGGAGCACATGAGGGATTTCTCTGATTTCCAACCAACCGGCCGGCCGGCCATCAGAAGAGGGTCTGGAGCAGTTTTTTCCATTTGTTCATGGCAAAGTCTTTCCATTGCACTTCTGGGAAGTCATGGAAAAGCCGACCTGACAGCAGTGACAGTAAAACGCCTGTGACACCTGTGACATTTTCCAGTAGCCCTGGTGTCAGCCAGCATATGTGGCCAATTTGTGGGGGCCAGAACCTGCATATGAGAGGAACATGGTGGGATAATTTTTCGTCATGATATACATCTGAGTATGTATTTGGGGTTACCATGCATAAGCAGCTCAGTACTCATTGAAATGAAGCCAAAGTAGTGACTTTTTTGGCACAAGTTGACTTGATATATTTTTAATCTGCTTAAAGGATCGAGTGGTTTGTTGCTTTGGAGACAAATCCCTTATGGGTTAATGAGTTCAACTGACATGTAGCTTTTTGTTGTTACTGCCTTCTCTCTATTTTACTCCTTTGCAAACTCTCACACTGTCACGTTCCTCAGGCGTTCAGGGACTTTGTGGCTGCGATTATTGGAAATGATTGCCCACAAAGCATCTTGGGGGATTTTAAGGCGTCATTGTATAAATCACCACTGGGACAAACCTTTTTTTTCCTGCTTTGTGACACAGAGCGAATGATGAGTTCAGCCATGTTCCATCATTTCATACTGAGAGCCTGGTGACAGCAAGAAGAAATAACAGATGCCATGAACGTGACGGCTAAAAATTCTGAACTGAAATGAATTCAGATTGAAAAAAGATGCTGCCAGCGCATAAAATGTCATCAGTCCTGTCCTCAGGAGTGACTGTTTAAGGGGGCACTTTTAACGTTTGATGCGAAGCAGGATAGTTGTGGGACCAAGTGATTAACATGAGCTTAAACTTCCAGATCATTAACTCATCCTTAAGTACTGAAGCTTTTCAACTGTCAAGAGGGACACTGCTGTATAAGGGGACTGTGAACGGGTCAGATATCAATAACAGAAAAGACTTCATCCTTTATTGGTTTCGCCTGACAAGACCTCACATCCAGTCGAGTCTTTATAATGACTTCACACTCGGGCAAATAGTTTAATTTGCATTTTGCTTGGACAAATCAAGTCATGTCTCCTTCTCACTAAACTTGTACCCCTAGTACACCCCTGATATGTGTGCGCTGAGGAATGTATAATTCATCATTACGTGTTGAGGACTTGCTGCTTTGACTTTGGTTCAGCTGCTTTCACATCATCCTCTTGAAATTCAGTTCAAGTGTTTACGGAGGAGCTCAGCTGCTTAGCTCAGGGCTAATATTTGATACCTTTCCAAAGGACACTTCAACCTAATTCAGCGCTTCAATTTCAACTGACAGTTTAACTACTTTAAATTGCTTAAACTACAACTCACATTTAACATCTCACATGCAAACAATCAACTTTTTGAAAAGTTTTCAAGTGTTACTTTGCCATTTCGCAACACGGGCAAGAATTCATCCTTTTCCAGCTTTCAGTCGTAACTATAAGCCGAATGAGGCAAAGTAAGGTCACATTGATTCTGACCTTGATATTTATTCTTCTTTTTTACCCTGGAGTTATGAAAATAATAAACCCAGATGAGGAGATAAATTTTTCTGGTGTAGACCAGCATTTGGAGCATTTGTTCTCCAGCTCACACAGATAGAGGGGGCATGTTGAAGGGGCTCTCTGAAAGTATTTACAAGCAGATTTACAGGTCCTGTAATGAGCACAATAAAAGTTTATGTTCCTAAACTAAGTATGGAACATGTTCAAGAGAGATGCAGTGGTGAAGAGGTATTTTAATAAAACCTATTTTGTGTTTTTAAGCAAACAACTCTACGGTTTCTCTCTCTGTAAATGCAGTGCCCTTCAATAATGTGTGGGGAATAGGTGTAAGAAACAGAGAGCAGTAAAAAAAGGTTGAGCTGCAGCCACACACTATAAAGGATAAGAACTGTAAGAAAAGACTGAGAGGGTGGTTTTTCAGTGAAAGAGAGGCCTTCATTTGCCAGGACAGCTGTCCTTTGTGCACTCTTACAGAAAATGAGCCAATTAAAAAATTTTCCATATAGCAAATAATTTGCTGTCCAAACCTTTCTGACATTTCTGCACGTTTGCTCCTGGGTTTGTGGGTCAGCAGATGTGACTCATAAATAATAAAGCTTCTTTTCTCACGTGGCAGGTTTAGGTCATTCGGTGCTGGCTGCTCAACAACAAACTCACATGGTTGTGATGCAGAAGAAACTGTGTCATTACCTGGCAGCGTGGAGGAGAAGGAGGAAAGACATGTAAGTTTGCTCAAATTGATCCATCAATCAGGCCGTCTGTGGAGCTTTCTGCTTGTTGTCCTGGCTGATAAATGCAGGGGGGAGGACGGGGGAGAGGAGGGAGGAATGAGTCTGGGTCTGGATCCCTCCTCATCTCAGGAATGCATGTGGGTTCCTCTCCAAAAGTGCTGACGTCAGGAGTGGCCTTGGATTAAAAACAGCCAGTTTATACTGAAAACGCGAGCAGATAGGCTGTGTTATGCACCTGGTCTGCTTAAAAGCTCAGTTTATACGTGTTTACAGCTTAAGAACCACATTTTTCACTCCTTAATGGACTGTCTGTGTAAATAAACTGATGCACTGAGGCATTATATGTAGACGGTAATTTACTGTAGGCTTGAACAATGCTTCCAAATGTCAGCCTGTTTTATAGCAGCTTTAAATTGAGGCAACAAATTCAACAAAAGACATTTACTGCTGATGCTGTAACTTAAAAGTTAATACGGTCTGAGTTTAGGGTGATGTATGTTGGACTTCGGCACTGCTGTGATATTTCAGGAGTTAAGTGTCTTTGCTTTGCCTTTCGGCACTTACGGCCGTGAAAATGCGTCATTTTCCCTCCACTTGTAATATTTTTATCATCCAGCAGCCGATCCCAGAATTCCTGAAGACCCAAGAGAACAGTCTGGGCTGAGTGAACAAGTTTCATTGATAACTTTTTCTACCCAAAGGGTCACCTCAGGACAACTTTTATTTCGGCTATTGGCATCAAATCCCCCAAATTCCAAGTAAATAATAAATCGATGTTTATGAGGGCTGGATTATATGGCCGTCTATGAGCCATATAGCTGTTTAGATGTTTAAACATTATCGAAGATACACTGAGTCATTTTTCTGTCTGATTTGTAACATAGGAACATTGTTAATTTTGGCCTTTTAAGAAAAGAGTACTAAATCTTTTAATTCCCATCTTAAGCAAATATCATATTTGATCTACAGATGGTTAAAACATGAACGTTTCTCTGTCACTGCCAACCATAAATGGATTATTATGATCATGACCCTGGGCACAAACTCATTGTGGGCTTCTACATATACATGCAAACAGTAAACGTGTGTCATCCACTATTTATACCCTCTATCACTTTAAATTTGGCCACAGTTCAGGACAGAGCAAACCACACAACACACTACTTTAAACTATAACCATTTATTATGTGTCACTATATTGGCATTTCACTTAATTTTCACACATAATAATACAACAACAAATACAAGTGTTCCAAGCACACCAAATGCTCAGACAATGGAAAAAAACAAACAAACAAACAAAAAACAACAAAAAAAAAAAAAAAAAAAAAAAAAGCCCAACATGCAGACATTATCATGATAGTTTTCTCAAAGCTCTTGTTACTTTTATTTGCATAAAGTGTCTTCCATGTGAAAACCAGGAAAAGTAGACAAACCTGAGTCAGAGAAAAAAAAACTAAGAAAACTAAGTAGATCTCCATGAACACCTTCACACAAAGTCAACAACTGGGCACACGCCTATTTTGCCCTTGCAGTGATCTGTCTATGTCACCACTCTTTGGTTTTTGATGAGGCTTTATTATTATTCATTTTAAATATTTATTTTTGGGTTTGGGGCCTTTATTTTGGTGAGGACAGGACTGTGTACAGACGTGTAACGAGGCTTACGACCTCCATATAGGGGGCGTGCACACAGAGCACTCAGCCAGCAGAAGAGGCTTTATGAAGCTACACAGTGCAGGTTGAAATATAAGAAATGGTGACTCTGATTGGTCTTCCATTAATCTTGAAAAAATCCAGATCTCAGGCCCCCTGAAACAGTTGCAGTCTTTCAGCCTATCAGCCAAGTCAGCCATGCCCTCAATTGCTCAATTTTCAGTCTAAACTCTGTAACTCCATCACTCTCATACCAAGGTTATACTTCAGAATTCAGCAAATGCCATAGGTCCTCATAGCCCTGTGCGTTACACAGAAACCTTCATGTGTAGCCTGATGATCACCAACTGTGGGTCAAAACATTTCAGAAAGCAGGCCCTGTGATTGGTCTACTTGTGGGTAGGTATTTCCAGTATCACTCCTGTCCACTGTCCTTTTCCTCAGTGACTATTTACTTTGTCTCCTCAAACATATCCCCATCTCATGGTCTTTGCAATCATTTCAGCATAACTGACTACTGCCCGACATTCATAAGATTGTGTTCAAATGTGTTTCCCTCAGATTTTGTTGCCATTTTCTCGAAAAAAAAATCAAGATTTAAACATAGCAGGACTGGGAACTGTGATTTGCAATGTGATATACCGGTGTGGACGTCACATTGCAGACTAGTGTTTAAGTGGATTATTACAGAGTGACACAGACATATTAACGCAGAAGTATGAAGTGCTCACAACAGTGTCAGCCACTACAACATAGGTAAGGCATAGGCCCGACCAGAAGCATTAACCAGGGTCTCGCCTTAATTTACTGGAAACATAAGTTACAAGAAAACCCCCAAAATGCCCTGCATATATTTATGAATGAAGAAATGGGCTTTAAAGGCCAAAACCCTTTTAAAATGAATAAATAAATAATCCAGGCTGTTGTTCTGCCAAAAAAAAGATGTTTTAATATGACAAATAGTGTTAATCTTTAGGCTTCCAATGCCTCCAGTGTACATCTGAGGAACTGCAGTCTTTTGCACTCAGTCCAAAAACTTTGTTTACTTTATTTTGCAACACCAGAGATCTGTACTTGGACTGGGACAGATTGTGGAAGAGCATTCGGGCCAAGGATGGGGAAAAAATAAAATTTAGGGGAACAGGGGAATATATTTGATGACATCATACTATGTCTGCAAATAACTATTGGCAAAATGCTTCACTTACAATTGCTTGCTCTTCTCTACTTATTTTGTCAGCTCATTTGTAAATAAAAAGACAGATTATTAATAAAATGCATGATAAATATGTATGCGTTATAATAATGCAACATCTGTCTCCCAGTGCTGGTCAGGCTTTGTTAAACGAGGTCTTAAACCTGAGAAGCAAAGGAGTTACAAGAATCAACACGGTATGTAAATTCCCTCCTGTGCCTTTATTTAAAACAATGTCAAAAATCTACATATTGGATAAATAAACTGCTGTTTGGTTATATTTGTAATCTAAATCTCAATATACCAACACTACTTGAATAGACTTTCTATTTTGTATTTGAAAGTTTTCTTGTTTTTGCAGGGGATAGAGCAGAAAGTGTGGAAAAGTGGAAAGTGAGAGTAGGTCATGATAAGTTGCGGAAGGACAAGGTTGGATTAAAACAAACTTCAGTCTCTTTACAGGTAGAATCAACTGCTAAGCTGCACCAGAGCCCCCAAAACTTACCTGACCAGTCTTGAAGTGGAAAGTTACATGAAGGAAGTAACTTTTTTATGATCAGCTTTTGTTAATTGTTTGCTGAAGAACCATGGCATCATTGAATCACTTCTATTCAGGGCCCTTTCACCTCCATCAAAGCACCTATGAAGTCACCTCTGAGGGGTGAGCTGCCCCACCTGTTTAACAAACACACACTCATTCTCTCACATAAACATGCACACACTGCTCTTATTCAAGTCAACAGATTTATTCACACTGTACCAACCACAGCCCTGCTCCACAAAAGCACCTGCTGAGGAGCACCAGCAGGTCCGCACAGGTGAGTAAACCAAACGCACAAATGTGTTCCTTGAGGGATGACACTGTACATACAGGAGCGATTCAGGCTAACGCCGGGCTCTGTTTTCCTCTAATCCTTCGTGTCAGCTCATGTGAAGACAGAAAGCGATTGACAGGCCCACCTCTCTGCACTTTTGCACGACAAATGAATCGAAGCTGTCGGTCCAGCTTCTGTCAGCCAAGATGTTATGAAATCCAGTCATTATGGGCCGATTTGTTTTCATTCATGAGGTCAGTTTGAAAAGCAAACACCATGTGCGGTGTATTGAAAACCTGCAAGCTTGTGAACAAGAGGAATGACGGAGGAGAGGGTTAATGATGCCCGCCGATGCAGTGAGAAGAGAAATACTTAGTGTTCTGAGACTGAATCAACATTTGAACTCCTTCAATCACGAGAGCAGACAGCCAACGCCTGCCCCCACTGTGCAGACTCCTCACCTTACATAAGTCTGAGCCCAAAGACACATCTGGAAATCAGCTCGTCCAACAGCAGGCCTCCGAGTGCCCACAGCGAAAAGGCTGCAGGGACAGACCACACGTTGTACATCAATTTGGTTTGGACATATTCTTTTTCAATCCCGTAGGCCTCACTTCATCTGTCATTGCTTTCCTCATTTGATTTTTGTCCTTGCCAGCTGCTCTGCACAGCATCAAATGAGCTAAACCTCATCTACTGCTGACGACAGACTATTAACTTTAATATTACCTCAGGTGTTCCAACACTTACCATAAAATACGGCACACGACATCTGAAATCAGGACCGAAGGGGTTTTACATAAAAGTTGAGTAATATGAAGCTATCCCTCAGAGTGGAGTGAAAGTTAATATAAGAAAGAAAAAGGTGATGGACTGCAGGGTTGAAAGTTTGAAAGCATAGGTCGGTGAATACTCTGCTGCATCCTTAAAACTACACTATGTGAATAACATCTTATTTTAACCCTAATCTTGCATTGTCAATTAAGCAAAGGATAATGAAAGATGTGCTAGCTTGGCCTGGTAGACTGGACAAATATGCATAACTAATAAATATCTGGGAGAAGATGCACATTAAGTTGCTAACAGCGTACTGTCTGCCTTGTTCTTGGGCAGTAAAATATCTAAATATAATATGTCAGTATGTGGTTTAGGACACATCCACTGATAGTATCAAAAACGTGACAGCTCTTAAAGTGAAACCAAAATGTTTTGAGCTTGTGGCGATGAACTGTCAGCAGACTAAGTCAAAACCATAGACTGTACATAGAATGGACGCTGTCTGCCTCCTCCTCGCTGGGTGAAGCCACTCCGAGAACAGCACCCTCTAGTGACGGGCTGCAGTATAGGTCATAAATTCCGCCTCCTCCAGCAATCCCTATAGAGCTGTGGACAAACTTTAGACATTTATTACACAGAATATAAAATTTTCTCCCCCCTGCTTATGATGTTGACATGTAGTAACTGTCAGACTGGTTTGCGCTCAAGTCCTCTTTTTTCTGTACGGCTCCATTTTTATAAGTTATTAGGGGGTTCATGATTTCTATGATGGACACTTGATACAGCCTATAGGTGTACAGAGATTGCGTAGCTCACCCGAGGATACGCTGTTTGAGCCGAGCGTGATCACAGCTTTTTACTTTTAGGCTTCAAATCTGTATACTGGCGGAAGGCGGAACCAAGTTGTCCATAGTATATACAGTCTGTGGTTAAGCCCATGTTAGGCTCTTACACACTGCCCATTCAAGGCAGGATATTTACAACTCTGTTACATCTGATCAATAGTGTTTAACACCCGGAGGTAAAATGATGGGGCAAAGTTACTGCTTCTCCAACCCTCACTAGAAGTCAAGGTTGGTTTTGTCCACTTAAAGACTAGACCCTCAAAGACCTGATAAATAAACAGATAACAGAGATGTTTAATTCATTTTTAGGAGACTGAGGCTGTCAGAACTGCTTTGCAACAGAAACTGAGTGAAAGAGGCACAGATTCACACATCAAGTGAAAAGACAATATGTGAGCTCACTTCAGTGCCCCCTCTCTGTGCTTCTCTCTCAGCTCTGTCCTCTTCCATACACAGCACACGCACCTGACACAACACACACACACACACACACACAGACACACACACACACACACACACACACACACACACACACACACACACACACACACACACTCTCTCTCTCTCTCTCTCTCTCACTCTCTCTCTCTTTCTTAAACACATTCCTACACTTCTTATATTACTTCTGCTTGTGTCATTTCACCGAACCCACATTGTCTGCTGACGTCTAGCCACACCACATGCCGACCCCTCGTCCCGGTGGCACATTGGCCTGTCTGTGAACCGAGGGCGGCTTCTGTCTGTGAGCTCAGCACGGCTGGTGCTTCAGAGTGTGATCCAGACTGGAAGAGTCATGAGGTGAATGTAAACATTTACCTCTGCTCTTAATCTCCTAATTAGGCCTGTTGGGATGTAAGACAGCCCGATGATGATTGTGTCTGGACTGAAGGAATTTTCATGATATCAGTAAACAGAAGAAACAGTCGTTGACTTATGTGTTTTAAAGTGGTACAGATGAAGTAATGACTTAAATCTGCACTCTTTGCTGTAGCCAGTGGGGGGCGACTCTAGTGGTTTGAAAAAGCAGTCTGCACACTGCAACACATTTTTTGTTAAATTACAGTTAACCACTGTATGCTGCTGTTATTTTACAGTTTGGATTCACTAGAAACTTCTGGTTTGCCCTGTAAATGCGTGTCTGATAGGCTTCTAATATCCAATAAAGAGCAGGGCACCTGTTTCCCTTGTTTTAGGCACGGGGGACTTGCAGGACTGGGCAAAAGCCTTGTCTAGAAACTAGATCAACATTGAAAACACAGCTGCAGAGGTCGATCTTATTAGATTGGATTACACGCAGCTTGTGTTTGTAGTGACCCAGACTCTGCCTCTTGATGTATGAAAGCATGGCACAATTTTTATTTGTTTTTAATTCAACCAATGCACCTGCACTTGGACATCAGGAGGTCTGACTTCACAGCACCTCTGCCCATCAGCTTTGGTTTGCTGACGTTGTTCAGTTGTCTCAGACACCGAATTTCTTTTAAGTGAGAGTTGACGGTACTTTTCTTGCAGACACTATGACCACGAGACTCAGTATTTTATGTCGGTGAATACTCCTTTGTGGTTCTCTGCAGGGTGTCCTTAATTTCCTGACAAAGAATGTCTTCCGGGTAGTTCTGGTGAAACTGTCTGTTTACTGCCCGAAGTAGGTGATTCACATTCGTTGGAGATAATCCTAACTGAGGGACATCTACAAAGCGCGTGTTGTTGTTATCAACACACTTCCACAATATATTGTGCAAGTTGTGTCAGCTGTAGGCAGATATATTGACATTTGGTTTGTGCTGTTAGTCTCCAGATTAATAGCTGAAACAAAGCACTGTCGAGACTTGACCTTAGACTACACTACCTTCATCAACTTTAGGTAGCCAGTAGGGTTGGGCGGTATCCAAATGTTGATACCGTCTCCATATTTTACCCCCGTATACGGTATTACTGTGACTAATTAAAAATTATGACTTAAGGCTCAGACAGCATCACCAAACTGTTGGCTTGTGCCTAAACCATTCAGAAACTGAATACCAAACACTAATAATGAAACAATAACAACATAGTTTGAACAATACTGACAACTTTTATTAGAGCTTAACAGCTTAAAAAGTGCACAACAGTCAAACAATTAAATTAACCTGACCATCCAGAACAGTTTTTGTGCAGGATGCGCTACACACACATCAATTAAATTAAATCACAGCCTGAGCAACTTTGAATAACAAAAAGAGCAGCTTATAAAAAGTGCAAATACAACAGTGAAACAGGTAAATTAACCTGGTCAAGTTATTCTTATTCTTATGTTATGTCATTCTTATTGTTAATCAAGAGAGTCCTTAATGTTGGTATTACCTTACCTGGTAAGACGTCCAGTCTGTTTAGTAGTCTGGTCCGCCTCACACTGTCATCTCCTTTTTTATCTTCTGTTTGCTCTCATTCCTGCACATTTCACCAAGAGAAACTGTTTATAAAGAGCTGTAAAAAAGGTATGATTCCTTCAAACTTAATATGTTTCCACCAGCTTGTCCAATGGCTGGGTACTGTAATTTATCACTGCTTTTATGTAAGTGTACAGCAGCTGTCTTTAGTAGCTTAAATTCATTGGTTTGGGTATGTTCATTAGAACATTTCCATTTTACTGCCATGTGACATAACGTGTTATTGATTGAGACTTCAGCTATCCGTGGAGTTCGGCAGATTCTTACTCTTTCCCATATTTGGTGAGCGATGAGTTCAAATAAATAACCCAGAGATCCTCAAGTGATTGACTGTGGAAACAATAACACACACTTAGATCAAGTATTCCTCAGAGGGACAGGTTCATGTGAGTCGTCCTCCATGTGCCAAAGTGTTGTGAGTATCTGTGCAGGCAGGGCTTGAATAAACATTTAGATTACCCCACTCAGCAAAACACAGAGTCCAGACTCGGCAAAGAATTTAAAATATTTCTCTGCAGTGTGACGAGGCACTTTATAATTTCCAAGAAAGCGTCAGTGGCCAGGGCCGAGAGACATACCAGAAACTTACAAGCTGGGATTCATTTTTTTTGTTTTATGAGAATAATCCGTATATGTGCACGATAAGCACAGGATCCACCGAGGCTCGTGTCCAACACAGCTTCCTTCTCCGACTGAGACAAAGTTCTTCGGAAAGTTCCACTGATTGGTCCAAGAGCATGTCCTATGATAAGAAACATGTTTTTTTTCTGATTGGAAAAGAGAAAAAAAGTTCTTAGAAATCCAACATTAGTTATGAAGTTTACATTTTGCTCCCGTCCAGCTGGTGGCAGATAATTTTAACCTGACTGGATAAGCTCCATGTGCTCGGTTCAGGTTAGCTTTTTTTTCCGTCAATAGTAGTCATTTAGTTAAATTTATTTTCAAATGGGTAGATTGCATAATAGGAAAATAATGTTGTTTTTTTATTTTCAGAGAGAAAAAAGACATTTGGAGACAGAGGGAGGACTGCTGTTCCTCAACACTGACTCCTTATGTAACAGGAAGCAGAGGAAAAGGGAGGACACTCTCAGGAGCATCTCTCTCTAACAAGAGGCTGGAGAAAGTAGACAGACGAGGATTCAAACCAAGGTGATATGGAAATATTCTTAATTTTGTTAATAGATTTATGTCAGTGGATGAAGAATTTTTAAGCACCTCATTCAAAATATCTTGAAGCAGCTTTCATCCGTGTAAATGGCTGCGGTGCTCGTCAGGTTCACGCTGCGTCTCAGCTCCCTCCAGCTCATCCTCTGTGTTTCCACACAAAAATTTACGACCATAAACACTCAATGTTGCTGCTCACTCCAAAACTCCACTCTTCACTGCCATCATGCTCTGGCTAGAGACCAAAGAAAATAACATGCTAAAAGCCCTAGGGTGCAAATTGCGGTTTGGGTTGATTTGGCGCTCCCTGTGGACAAAGTGGCACCTCTCATTTTCTTCTCTCTTTGCTGATCTGGTTCTTTAATTGTGACGGAAGTCTCTATCCTTTTTCCTCTCAGAAATCAAATACATTACCTGTAGAGAGTATTTGCTGTGGGAAGTGTGTAGAAATAGCAGTTTCTAGACTGGGCTGTTCAATATCTCTCTGACACGGACCCTCAGGAGCTGTTGCAGATATTTATTATTATGTAAGTATATTATATTGAATAAACCAATAATTATGAGGGTGGTTTGATTGTTTTTGAAGGTCAAAAAGATGAATCAATATTGAATCAAATATGTTTTATACCCTGCTGATACTCTAAATAGGATCTCTAAATAGCAACAACAATGTATCTATCCATCCATCCATCCATCTCAATGGCTTACTCCCATCCAGATGGGAATCTCTGGGTGAGAGGTGAGGTATACCTGAACAGGTCATCAGTCCATCACAGGACAGACACATAGAGACAAATGACCATAACCCTCACAATCACACTCATGGGTCATTTAGAGTGACTGAGTAACTGTCCAGGTGTTTTGGGACTGTGGGGGGAAGCCAGAGCACCTGAAGAGAACTTCTGCATATTAAGGAAGGTCCTTGCCCAGCTTGTGATTCGAAACAGTAACCCTCCTGCAGCGGGACAACAGTGTTAATGACTCCACTGTGCAGCCTTCAACACTAATATAGGAAACTTTAATCTCAAACATAAGATGCTAAATCTAACTAAAACAGGAGTAAACAATCACCAAAGAACCAAAACAGGGCTGTCACAATCATATTTCCACATCAGAATAATGATGGAGCAATAAAATTCGGTATCGTCACAACATTTGCTGAATTTGGAAAAAGTGCTTCAGTCAATACAATTATTAATATTATTTTTTTTGACATGCACATCTTGAAGCGTGTTTTGAACGTCCAGGCTGGTTTGGGTTTCATCAAGAATTAGAGTGAGATATGCAGGATAAAAATCGATCCCTAACTACATTATCTGAAAAGGTTTTCTGGCTTTGAGAAAATCAGCAGTTACTCATTTTCACCTCTTGGCTGTGTTTTCATATTTCATTTGCCCTACAGCAGTTAACCTCAGTTTTAGGACAATTGCTTGCAGTGACTTTTGTGTATTCAAAGGGCATCCAAGAGTCTTCGTTCTCCCAGTGAGTGTTATTCTATTGAATTTTATTTATGATCACAAGTTATCAGAATTATGTTCACTGTATCCTGGCTTTTGTTTGGTGTTACGTAGTCTTTGGTTTCTTTGGCCTATAAGCTGAGGAGTTATGATGGTTGTTGGCTTTTTTCCCCTCAGAGAAGATGTTCATGATGAAAACACTGGTTGTTTTTAGTTCCTCTTTCAGTGCAGCCTAACCGCCACTCACTCTCTCACCAACTTGACATCAGCCAAAACACTGAAGTGAAGGCTTCAGAAAAGGATGTTGACAAACCAAATGTTGAAACTTCAGAGTGTCTCCTTCCATTATTTGTATTGTTCATGATGCACAAATGAAAGACAAGATATTGACCATACTTTGCCTGAAGTTTGAGAGCAGTGACACCCGCAATATAATGATGTAATGAGTAATATATGCAGCAGAATTAAGAACAGTTGTATGCAGTGACTGGCTGTTGTCCAGTTCCCAACAAGAGCCTCAGCTGGATGTATCAGGCTGACCTGAGCACAGCGTGTTCTTTCCTGACAGTGGAGACTAACAGCAGAAGAGGAGATGTGAGATCAGACCCAGCTTGTGATAAATCATGACTCAGCACTGTAGCATGATAAGCAAAAGCTGTTTGAACAAGCCCACATGACAGAGGGATGAGAGAAACTATCTCTGCACCTCCCCTCTGTCCCTATGAACGTCTTTGTTTTTTTTCACTGTTTACTGTTTTCATCCACGGAGGTCGACCACATCCTCTGTCTGACGTTTCACTTAGTGACTGTACGTCTCTCATCTGTGGTTACCTCAACTTTTGATCCACCTGGCTGTTGCTGCTGTGTGGGGTCAGGCTCTTTTCTGTATTGAGCTGTGTCGTACTGCCCTCTTGTGGACAACTTGCAGACACCTCCAGCTGTAATGAACAGATAAGTCCACTAGAGGTCGATGTACATGCACACATTTGTAGGGGATGCAGAGGTTACTGCAGTTATCAATGAGTTTGTCCATTGATTAGGGCCCGAGCGTAGCTGCTAAGCAGCTGCGAGAGCCCTATTATTCCTGATGGATTCTTCTTTCTTCTTCTTCTTATTAGGGCCCGAGCGTAGCTGCTAAGCAGCTGCGAGAGCCCTCTTGTTCCTGATGGATTCTTCTTTTTAGGGCCCGAGCGTAGCTGCTAAGCAGCTGCGAGAGCCCTCTTGTTCCTGATGGATTCTTCTTTTGTTATTATTATTATTAGGGCCCGAGCGTAGCTGCTAAGCAGCTGCGAGAGCCCTATTATTCCTGATGGATTCTTCTTTCTTCTTCTTCTTCTTCTTATTATTTTTCTGCCCCTTTGAACTGGAAAATGGCCCACTTCCCACTGGTGAAAAGTCATGAAATTTGGCAGGACGACCGGGCCTGGTGAAAAATTCGATATTCTGAAGTCGCCCAAAAAATCAAATGCAAAATGGCTCCATAGCGCCCCCTAAGGTGAAAAATTCACATGATTGAGTGTCACGCCTGTACGTTTTGTCAAAATGACACAAAATTTGACACACACGTGTATCTCAATAAGATCTACAAAAAAGTCAGTGCGGGCGTATCTGTCAAATGTACGGTTAAAGGTTTATTTCGCATTTTTTGCCGATCCGCACACATTGGAATTTCGCTAACTCCTCCGAAGGTTTTCCTTCCACCGGCACCACATTTGCTCAGGCCAATCTACACCCCATGGCCAATAAAAGTTGTACAAATCATGACGCTGCACCCCACGGTTTACGTTCTAGGGGGCGCCAAAGATAACCCAAAAATCCACAGTCTTAAAAGTCTTATAACTTTTTATTTTTGTCCTCACTGGCCTCCAAGTTCTCTAGGATGATGCAATGTCCAGCCATCAACACATTTGTGAAGGAATTTTTACTCGCCAAAAGAGCGCCCCCCCATGGCAGGAGAAAAATGTCCATTTTTTCTTGTCTCCTAAGGCGAAAATACACATCGTTGACTGTCACGCCTTTACGCTTTGTCAAAATGACACAAAATTTGACACACACATGTATCTCAATAAGATCTACAAAAAAGTCAGTGCGGGCGTATCTGTCACATGTACGGTTAAAGGGTTATTTCGCATTTTTTGCCGATCCGCACACATTGGAATTTCGCTAACTCCTCTGAAGGCTTTCGTTCCAACGGCACCACATTTGCTCAGGCCAATCTACACCCCATGGCCATTAAAAGTTGTACAAATCATGACACTGCACCCCACGGTTTACGTTCTAGGGGGCGCCAAAGATAACCCAAAAATCCACAGTCTTAAAAGTCTTATAACTTTTTATTTTTGTCCTCACTGGCCTCCAAGTTCTCTAGGATGATGCAATGTCCAGCCATCAACACATTTGTGAAGGAATTTTTACTCGCCAAAAGAGCGCCCCCCATGGCAGGAGAAAAAAGTCCATTTTTTCTTGTCTCCTAAGGCGAAAATACACATTGTTGATTGTCACGCCTTTACGCTTTGTCAAAATGACACAAAATTTGACACACACATGTATCTCAATAAGATCTACGAAAAAGTCAATGCGAGCGTATCTGTTCAATGTACGGTTAAAGGGCTATTTTGCATTTTTTCCGATTCGCACACATTGGAATGTGGCTAACTCCTCCTAAAGCTTTTGTCCCATCGGCTTCAAATTTGCTCAGGTCAATCTACACCCCATGGCCATTCAAAGTTGTACAAATCATGACGCTGCACCCCACGGTTTACGTTCTAGGGGGTGCCAAAGAGGACCCAAATATCCACATTTTTAAAAGTCTTATAACTTTTTATTTTTGTCCTCACTGGCCTCCAAGTTTTCTAGGATGATGCAATGTCCAGCCATCAACACATTTGTGAAGGAATTTTTCTCCCCAAAAGAGCGCCCCCCATGGCAGGAGAAAAAGTCAAGTTTTTCCTGCCCATCGCTCAATGGCTCAAAAGCATCGCTCTCTCGGCAAAACCGAAAGGAGGAGCAACTTGCCATTTGGATATATACTAGCTGTGTTTGTGCCCTCACTCATGGTCCAGACTTTTTTCAAAAAGGACATGGAGTTTGTCTGCAGCGAGCGTTTTGGTAGAAACTGCGCCTCCCATTCATTATAATGGTAAATGACCACAGACAAGTGCGCACACCATCTTTGGACCTTGAGTGTGACGCGATCAAGAGGGGTAGGCGGTCGCGCTGGGGGCGGCGCGACACGGCTCGGGCCCGCCAGTGCCCCAACGGGGCCCTAGTTATTATTTTTCCTCCGCTTTAAACTGGAAAATGGCCCACTTCCCACTGGCGAAAACTCATGAAATTTGGCAGGACGACCGGGCCTGGTGAAAAATTCGATATTTTGTAGTCGCCCAAACAATAAAATGCAAAATGGCTCCATAGCGCCCCCTAAGGTGGAAATTCACACTATTGACTGTCACGTCTGTACGTTTTGTCATATTGACACAAAAATTGACACACATATGTATCTCAATAAGATCTACAAAAAAGTCAGTGCGGGCGTATCTGTCAAATGTACGGTTAAAGGGTTATTTCGCATTTTTTGCCGATCCGCACACATTGGAATTTCGCTAACTCCTCCGAAGGCTTTCGTTCCACCGGCACCACATTTGCTCAGGCCAGTCTACACCCCATGGCCATTAAAAGTTGTACAAATCATGACGCTGCACCCCACGGTTTAGGTTCTAGGGGGCGCCAAAGATAACCCAAAAATCCACATTCTTAAAAGTCTTATAACTTTTTATTTTTGTCCTCACTGCCCTCCAAGTTTTCTAGGATGATGCAATGTCCAGCCATCAACACATTTGTGAAGGAATTTTTACTCCCCAAAAGAGCGCCCCCCCATGGCAGGAGAAAAAAGTCAATTTTTTCTTGTCCCCTTACATGAAAATACACATTGTTGAGTGTCACGCCTGAACGCTTTGTCATATTGACACAAAAATTGACAATCATGTGTATCTCAATTAGATCTACGAAAAAGTCAAAGAGCGCGTATCTGTATAATGTACGGTTAAAGGGCTATTTCGCATTTTTTGCCGATTCGCACACATTGGAATGTGGCTATCTCCTCCTAAGGCTTTCGTCCCACTGATACCAAATTTGCTCAGGGCAATCTACACCCCATGCCCATTCAAAGTTGTAAAAATCATGACGCTGCACCCCACGGTTTACGTTCTAGGGGGTGCCAAAGATGACCCAAAAATCCACATTCTTAAAAGTCATTTTGGCCACTGCAGGAGTACAGAGTACTGCAGTTCTAGGGGGCGCCAAAGATGACCCAAAAATCCACATTCTTAAAAGTCTTTTTGGCCACTGCAGGAGTACAGAGTACTGCAGGATACACACACATATACACACACGCCAACACACACACACACACACACACACACACACTCAGAGTCTGTTTTTTAGCACCTGCAAAAACATGCTGTTTACATATTTGACAAGAATGCAGAGGCTTCCTTTTGCCCCTGAAAAAAATCAAATTTCAAACACAACTTGACTGTTCATTTCTCCAAAAGACAACCATGAAGCTCCATCCAAACCTGAAGCAGATAGTTGGTGCATGTGTACAGTAACCTGAGGGGAGTGAGGTGACTATTTCTGAGGAGAACATGAGCAGTGAAGATTCACCTTGGAGCTAGAACAGGGACGTGCACATGATTATACAGGGGCAGGGGCTCAAGTTTTTTCCAGTCATTTATACAATATGGAAATTAATGTGAAATTAAAAAACAAAGTATTAATAGAAAGGTAATGACTGTCCTGTGTAGGTGACAGTGATATCCAATAGGCTAGGCACTCACGAGGCTGGCTGTGGCAAGTGTAAGTGAAAGCAACACGCACTGGCAGGAAGAACAGCAAACGCCGATGAAGGAAAGGGTCTTTGCAGTGATGGGCGTTACCAGAGAGGACGATGGCCAGAGGACGCGAATGGGACGGGGAGGCAGCGCGTTGGGGGGGGCAGCGCGACACGGCTCGGGCCCGCCAGTGCCCCAACGGGGCCCTAGTTATTATTTTTCCTCCGCTTTAAACTGGAAAATGGCCCACTTCCCACTGGCGAAAACTCATGAAATTTGGCAGGACGACCGGGTCTGGTGAAAAATTCGATATTCTGACGTCGCCCAAACAATAAAATGCAAAATGGCTCCATAGCGCCCCCTAAGGTGGAAATTCACACTATTGACTGTCACATCTGTACGTTTTGTCATATTGACACAAAAATTGACACACATATGTATCTCAATAAGATCTACAAAAAAGTCAGTGCGGGCGTATCTGTCAAATGTACGGTTAAAGGGTTATTTCGCATTTTTTGCCGATCCGCACACATTGGAATTTCGCTAACTCCTCCGAAGGCTTTCGTTCCACCGGCACCACATTTGCTCAGGCCAGTCTACACCCCATGGCCATTAAAAGTTGTACAAATCATGACGCTGCACCCCACGGTTTAGGTTCTAGGGGGCGCCAAAGATAACCCAAAAATCCACATTCTTAAAAGTCTTATAACTTTTTATTTTTGTCCTCACTGCCCTCCAAGTTTTCTAGGATGATGCAATGTCCAGCCATCAACACATTTGTGAAGGAATTTTTACTCCCCAAAAGAGCGCCCCCCATGGCAGGAGAAAAAAGTCAATTTTTTCTTGTCCCCTTACATGAAAATACACATTGTTGAGTGTCACGCCTGAACGCTTTGTCATATTGACACAAAAATTGACAATCATGTGTATCTCAATTAGATCTACGAAAAAGTCAAAGAGCACGTATCTGTATAATGTACGGTTAAAGGGCTATTTCGCATTTTTTGCCGATTCGCACACATTGGAATGTGGCTATCTCCTCCTAAGGCTTTCGTCCCACTGATACCAAATTTGCTCAGGGCAATCTACACCCCATGCCCATTCAAAGTTGTAAAAACCATGATGCTGCACCCCACGGTTTACGTTCTAGGGGGCGCCAAAGATGACCCAAAAATCCACATTCTTAAAAGTCATTTTGGCCACTGCAGGAGTACAGAGTACTGCAGTTCTAGGGGGCGCCAAAGATGACCCAAAAATCCACATTCTTAAAAGTCTTTTTGGCCACTGCAGGAGTACAGAGTACTGCAGGATACACACACATATACACACACGCCAACACACACACACACACACACACACACACACACACACACACACACACACTCAGAGTCTGTTTTTTAGCACCTGCAAAAACATGCTGTTTACATATTTGACAAGAATGCAGAGGCTTCCTTTTGCCCCTGAAAAAAATCAAATTTCAAACACAACTTGACTGTACATTTCTCCAAAAGACAACCATGAAGCTCCATCCAAACCTGAAGCAGATAGTTGGTGCATGTGTACAGTAACCTGAGGGGAGTGAGGTGACTATTTCTGAGGAGAACATGAGCAGTGAAGATTCACCTTGGAGCTAGAACAGGGACGTGCACATGATTATACAGGGGCAGGGGCTCAAGTTTTTTCCAGTCATTTATACAATATGGAAATTAATGTGAAATTAAAAAACAAAGTATTAATAGTAAGGTAATGACTGTCCTGTGTAGATGACAGTGATATCCAATAGGCTAGGCACTCACGAGGCTGGCTGTGGCAAGTGTAAGTGAAAGCAACACGCACTGGCAGGAAGAACAGCAAACGCCGATGAAGGAAAGGGTCTTTGCAGTGATGGGCGTTACCAGAGAGGACGATGGCCAGAGGACGCGAATGGGACGGGGAGGCAGCGCGTTGGGGGGGGGCAGCGCGACACGGCTCGGGCCCGCCAGTGCCCCAACGGGGCCCTAGTGTTATTATTAGGGCCCGAGCGTAGCTGCTAAGCAGCTGCGAGAGCCCTCTTGTTCCTGCATGTTTCCTTCTTTCGTTATTATTTTTCCTCCGCTTTAAACTGGAAAATGGCCCACTTCCCACTGGCGAAAACTCAGGAAATTTGGCATGACGACCGGGCCTGGTGAAAAATTCGATATTCTGAAGTCGCCCAAACAATAAAATGCAAAATGGCTCCATAGCGCCCCCTAAGGTGAAAATTCACATGACGGCTGTACGCTTTGTCATATTGACACAAAAATTGACACACACATGTATCTCAATAAGATCTACAAAAAAGTCAGTGCGGGCGTATCTGTCAAATGTACGGTTAATGGGTTATTTTGAATTTTTTGCAGATCTGCACACATTGGAATTTCGCTAACTCCTCCAAAGGCTTTCGTTCGACCGGCACCACATTTGCGCAGGCCAATCTACACCCCATGGCCATTAAAAGTTGTACAAATCATGACGCTGCACCCCACGGTTTACGTTCTAGGGGGCGCCAAAGATAACCCAAAAATCCACATTCTTAAAAGTCTTATAACTTTTTACTTTTGTCCTCACTGGCCTTCAAGTTTTCTAGGATGATGCAATGTCCAGCCATCAACACATTTGTGAAGGAATTTTTACTCCCCAAAAGAGCGCCCCCCAATGGCAGGAGAAAAAGGTCCATTTTTTCTTGTCCCCTAACATGAAAATACACATTGTAGAGTGTCACGCCTGAACGCTTTGTCATATTGACAAAAAATTTGACAATCACGTGTATCTCAATAAGATCTACGAAAAAGTCAAAGGGCATGTATCTGTCAAATGTACGGTTAAAGGGCTATTTTGCATTTTTTGCCGATCCGCACACATTGGAATTTCGCTAACTCCTCCGAAGGCTATCTTTCCACCGGCACCAAATTTGCTCAGGCCAATCTACACCCCATGGCCATTAAAAGTTGTACAAATCATCTTGCTGCACCCCACGGTTTGGGTTCTAGGGGGCACCAAATATAACCCAAAAATCCACATTCTTAAAAGTCTTATAACTTTTTATTTTTTTCCATACTGGCCTCCAAGTTTTTTAGGATGATGCAATGTCCAGCCATCAACACATTTGTGAAGAAATTTTTACTCCCCAAAAGAGCGCCCCCCCATGGCAGGAGAAAAAAGTCCATTTTTTCTTATCCCGAAAGGTGAAAATTCACGTTGTTGAGTGTCACGCCTTTACGCTTTGTCATATTGACAAAAAATTTGACAATCACATGTATCTCAATAAGATCTATGAAAAAGTCAATGGGCACGTAAGTGTAAAATGTACAGTTAAAGGGTTATTCCGCATTTTTTGAAGATCCGCACACATTGGAATTTCGCTAACTCCTCCGAAGGCTTTCGTTCCACCGGCACCACATTTGCTCAGACCAATCTACACCCCATGGCCATTAAAAGTTATTCAAATCATGACGCTGCACCACATGGTTTAGGTTCTAGGGGGCGCCAAAGATAACCGTAAAATCCACATATTTAAAAGTCTTATAACTTTTTATTTTTTTCCCCACTGGCCTCCAAGTTTTCTAGGATGATGCAATGTCCAGCCATCAACACATTTGTGAAGGAATTTTTACTCCCTAAAAGAGTGCCCCCCCATGGCAGGAGAAAAAGTCAAGTTTTTCCTGCCCATCGCTCAACGGCTCAAACACATCGCTCTCTCGGCAAAACCGAAAGGAGGAGCAACTTGCCATTTGGATATATCCTAGCTGTGTTTGTGCCCTCACTCATGGTCCAGACTTTTTTCAAATAGGACATGTAGTTTGTCTGCAGCGAGCGTTTTGGTAGAAACTGCGCCTCCCATTCATTATAATGGTAAATGACCACAGACAAGTGCGCACACCATCTTTGGACCTTGAGTGTGACGCGATCGGGAGGAAGAGGCGGTCGTGTTGGGGGCGGTGCGACACAGCTCGGGCCCGCCAGTGCCCCAACGGGGCCCTAGTTATTATTTTTCCTCCGCTTTAAACTGGAAAATGGCCCACTTCCCACTGGCGAAAACTCATGAAATTTGGCAGGACGACCAGGCCTGGTGAAAAATTCGATATTCTGAAGTCGCCCAAACAATAAAATGCAAAATGGCTCCATAGCGCCCCCTAAGGCGAAAATTCACACTATTGACTGTCACGCCTGTACGCTTTGTCATATTGACACAAAAATTGACACACACGTGTATCTCAATACGGTCTACGAAAAAGTCAGCGCGGGCGCATCTGTGAAATGTACGGTTAGAGGGTTATTTCGCATTTTTTGCCGATCTGCACACATTGGAATTTCGCTAACTCCTCCGAAGGCATTCGTTCCACCGGCACCACATTTGCTCAGGCCAATCTACACCCCATGGCCATTAAAAGTTGTACAAATCATGACGCTGCACCCCACAGTTTAGGTTCTAGGGGGCGCCAAAGATAACCCAAAAATCCACATTCTTAATAGTCTTATAACTTTTTATTTTTGTCCTCACTGGCCTCCAAGTTTTCTAGGATGATGCAATGTACAGCCATCAACACATTTGTAAAGGAATTTTTACTCCCGAAAAGAATGCCCCCCCATGGCAGGAGAAAAAAGTCCATTTTTTCTTGTCCCCTAAGGTGAAAAAACACATTGTTGACTGTCAGGCCTATACGCTTTGTCAAAATGACACAAAATTTGACGCACACGTGTATCTCAATAAGATCTACGAAAAACTCAATGGGCACGTATCTGTAAAATGTACGGTTAAAGGGCTATTTCGCATTTTTTGCAGATTTGCACACATTGGAATGTGGCTAACTCCTCCTAAGGCTTTCTTCCCACCGACACCAAATTTGCTCAAGCCGATCTACATCCCATGGCCATTCAAAGTTGTAAAAATCATGCCGCTGCACCCCATGGTTTACGTTCTAGGGGGCGCCAAAGATGACCCAAATATCCACATTCTTAAAAGAATCCACATCCCCCCCCCCCCAAGGCAGGAGAAAAAGTCCAGTTAACCCTGCCCATCGCTCAATGGCTCAATCGCATCGCTCTCCTGGCAACACCGTAAGGAGGAGCAACTTGCCATTTGGATATATCCTAGCTGTGTTTGTGCCCTCACTCATGGTCCAGACTTTTTTCAAATAGGACATGTAGTTTGTCTGCAGCGACCGTTTTGGTAGAAACTGCGCCTCCCATTCATTATAATGGGAAATGACCACAGACAAGTGCGCACACCATCTTTGGACCTTGAGTGTGATGCGATCGGGAGGGGGAGGCGGTCGCGCTGGGGGCGGCGCGACGCGGCTCGGGCCCGACAGTGCCCCACCGGGGCCCTAGTTATTTTTCTGCCCCTTTGAACTGGAAAATGGCCCACTTCCCACTGGTGAAAACTCATGAAATTTGGCAGGACGACCGGGCCTGGTGAAAAATTCGATATTCTGAAGTCATCCAAACAATCAAATGCAAAATGGCTCCATAGCGCCCCCTAAGGTGAAAAATTCACATGATTGAGTGTCACGCCTGTACGCTTTGTCAAAATGACACAAAATTTGACACACACGTGTATCTCAATAAGATCTACAAAAAAGTCAGTGCGGGCGTATCTGTCAAATGTACAGTTAAAGGGCTATTTTGCATTTTTTGCCGATCCACACACATTGGAATTTCGCTAACTCCTCCGAAGGCTTTCGTTCCAAAGGCACCACATTTGCTCAGGCCAATCTACACCCCATGGCCATTAAAAGTTGTACAAATCATGACGCTGCACCCCACGGTTTACGTTCTAGGGGGCGCCAAAGATAACCCAAAAATCCACAGTCTTAAAAGTCTTATAACTTTTTATTTTTGTCCTCACTGGCCTCCAAGTTCTCTAGGATGATGCAATGTCCAGCCATCAACACATTTGTGAAGGAATTTTTACTCGCCAAAGAGCGCCCCCCCATGGCAGGAGAAAAAAGTCCATTTTTTCTTGTCTCCTAAGGCGAAAATTCACACTATTGAGTGTCACGCCTATACGCTTTGTCATATTGACACAAAAATTGACACACACATGTATCTCAATAAGATCTACAAAAAAGTCAGTGCGGGCGTATCTGTCAAATGTACGGTTAAAGGGCTATTTCGCATTTTTTGCCGATCCGCACACATTGGAATTTCGCTAACTCCTCCGAAGGCTTTCGTTCCAAAGGCACCACATTTGCTCAGGCCAATCTACACCCCATGGCCATTAAAAGTTGTACAAATCATGACGCTGCACCCCACGGTTTACGTTCTAGGGGGCGCCAAAGATAACCCAAAAATCCACAGTCTTAAAAGTCTTATAACTTTTTATTTTTGTCCTCACTGGCCTCCAAGTTCTCTAGGATGATGCAATGTCCAGCCATCAACACATTTGTGAAGGAATTTTTACTCGCCAAAAGAGCGCCCCCCCATGGCAGGAGAAAAAAGTCCATTTTTTCTTGTCTCCTAAGGCGAAAATACACATTGTTGACTGTCACGCCTTTACGCTTTGTCAAAATGACACAAAATTTGACAAACACATGTATCTCAATAAGATCTACGAAAAAGTCAATGTGAGCGTATCTGTTCAATGTACGGTCAAAGGGCTATTTCGCATTTTTGGCCGATTCGCACACATTGGAATGTGGCTAACTCCTCCTCAATCTTTTGTCCCATCGGCTTCAAATTTGCTCAGGTCAATCTACACCCCATGGCCATTCAAAGTTGTACAAATCATGACACTGCACCCCACAGTTTACGTTCTAGGGGGCGCCAAAGAGGACCCAAATATCCACATTTTTAAAAGTCTTATAACTTTTTATTTTTGTCCTCACTGGCCTCCAAGTTTTCTAGGATGATGCAATGTCCAGCCATCAACACATTTGTGAAGGAATTTTTTCTCCCCAAAAGAGCGCCCCCCCATGGCAGGAGAAAAAGTCAAGTTTTCCTGCCCATCGCTCAATGGCTCAAACGCATCGCTCTCTCGGCAAAACCGAAAGGAGGAGCAACTTGCCATTTGGATATATACTAGCTGTGTTTGTGCCCTCACTCATGGTCCAGACTTTTTTCAAAAAGGACATGGAGTTTGTCTGCAGCGAGCGTTTTGGTAGAAACTGCGCCTCCCATTCATTATAATGGTAAATGACCACAGACAAGTGCGCACACCATCTTTGGACCTTGAGTGTGACGCGATCGGGAGGGGTAGGCGGTCGCGCTGGGGGCGGCACGACACGGCTCGGGCCCGCCAGTGCCCCAACGGGGCCCTAGTTTAAACTTTTATTGAAGCCACAAGAGAAAATAACACATTTAATTACAACTTCACATTGGAACTTTACAGTCATTTGCCATTTGACTGTTTTAGTTTTTCAAATCTATTAACTCTCTTGAATCAAAACAATGTAAAAAATACGACTGATTCCTCTCAAATGTTCCACCCTAAACCTGTTGGTTGTCCTTTCTTTTTAAAAAAAATGACTTTTTTACAGTAATTGTTAACACTCCATTATATAGAACATCATTTATGTGATCACCTTACTGCCACAATCAGTCATTGAATCTGCAGTTCATAAGAAGTAACATCACTCTGACCCTCTATATGTCCTAGCTAAAAGAATCAATCAATATTCAACATCAATTACTTGACAATATTAAAAGCCCACAACTGAGATGTTTTAAATTCCTCATGTGTTAGTTTTTGGAGCAGTTGTCCACTAAGAGGTGCTGTAGTTTTGTTTGACAGTATATATATATATATATACTGTATATATATATATATATATATATATATATATATATTTTTTTTTTTTTCCAGCCTTGGCATCATTGACGACAAGTGAGATCAATTCGGCATTTAGTGACTTGTATCACTAAATTACTCTACATAAACTCACATCTAAGGAAGTGTATGTGTTTGATTTTCAGTCAAAATATCTCAAAACATTTAGGGCTCTATTTTCTTGTATGCCGGTGAGGCGGCGGAGGGTGGCGGACCCCTTGCAGTTGTATTTTCGTCTGGCGGAGCCCGGCATGCAGCCAGTTTGGTATTTTCGTGGACTGAGCCGCACGGAGGTGAACCGAGATCCGCCAAGCTGGGCGTGGTGCCGTGGCAGGGGGAGGTGTCGACAGAATCAGTGGGCGCAGTGACATTTTTGTGCTCACCAGTGGCGTGTAAAGTGCGCTGAAAGCTCGCCGATTCAAACCTGGTCAGCTTTCAGCGCAGGCGGAGCGCAGCTGGTCTAGTAGTATTTTGGGAGACCGGCGGCCTATAGGCATACGTCACTGATGCCTCACAGGCAGGTTTCCACAGTGTCAGGCACATTTCAGTGCAATAAATAATCATCAACAACTAATAATCTGAGTCAGCACATACATTTATATCAATATATTCTGATCTATATCTGATCTGATGAGCGCGTTTGGCACGCGTTTGGACACACAACCTGACCGAATCAACACAGCTGAAACCGCATTAAATTAAATTAAATATCTAGTAAATAGACACACAGGATGAAATTAACAAGATATGTAATTTGTCTCCCTCCTTTTCTTTCTTCCTCTTCCTCTTATTTCTCGCGCAACTCGACCTGGACATGTCTACGGGTTCTCTCCCCGTCCTGCTGCAGTGGCTGAACAGATGATTTGTTTCAGTGCTCAGATGAGTTATTTACTTTAAGCCGACATACGGATATTATAATATTCAGTTTTGTGGGCCAAATTTATTTTATATGCCAACATCTATGAAAGAAAGAGCCAGGCCGCGGAGCGGGATGCGTCATTTACACACAGATGGTTCACATTTTAATGCCATTTTTGGAGTTTATGTTGTGATCTGTGCACACAACCCACCTTTATCATGTGAGGTTTAAATATATGCAACTTTATGCGAGTGTCTTTATTTGTGGAAAAGGGTGATTGTCTTACCAGTGGGTCCAACATTACACACACCAAATCCATCTGTGCTCATATGAGAGAGTGTGGAGGACGCCCAATGCAGCGCTTACAGTGACACTTGTTGAGGAGCTGCCTTCTGTCGCCATCGTGTGGCATTACTGTCTTCAGACATCTCTCGATCTCTTTGACTACTTCACTAAAATTGGAATACACCTCGCTGGTGGCGGATTTAAAGGCAAGGAGAGGAGCTTATGTGATTGGTGAAAACAGGTCTCGGCTGTGTTAAACCCATTCGATGCCCTCTCTCCTCCCTCGCTACGACTTACGCCGCTGGGAGGAGCTGAGTTATGGAGGGGGGATACTCACAACGGGCTGCGCCGCTCACCAAAATACCAACTTGTGCTTGAGAACGCCTTGTCGGCCCGGCGGACCTGACTTACGCCGTGCCTGCGTCACGTCTCCGGCGAGGCACGAAAATAGAGCCCTTAATATTAAGTCACATTCAGCAGATAAGAGAGGAAAACGGTCTAATTTCAAAGTATTCTACGACAGAATGAAGGCATAAATGCACAGGAAGCAAAGGTTTTGGTTTTGTTTAGGATACAAATTTTTATGCAAATCCCAAGGAACCTATCAACAAAATATTTCGACCACAAATTACGAGAAATCACTCAGTGCTAGTTTTTACAGGAAACATCTGCTGTCCTCTCAGTGCAGCAGTAAGTGAGATCTGTTTAGGAAAAAGTGACAAAAATACAAACTTTGTTGTTTTTTGAAACACGCACCCTTAAAAAATAAATAAATAAATTGATAACTGATATCTTTTAATGACTTGCAGAAGAAAAACAAATGATCAGCAACATGAATGAATATTAATAAGTAATTTTTTTGTAAGGGTAGGTGCCACACGAATCCATAAACAGCCTGCTGCAGAAACAACCTTTGTTTATTATTTGGCAAATATACATAATTCATCATTCATCAGTTATTTAATTATCAGCGGACAGAAGGGTGAGACAGGTACTGCTCTGAACATGGAGGGTGCCAACGGAAACCAAAGGTTTCCTTATGGGAGCTTTAAAATCACACACAGGTAAGAGTAAGATTCAACTATTCTTTCTACTTGGCTTAATTCCAGTGGTATTTGACCACAAAACTTCAACTGTACTTCTGTTATACAATACACAAAGAAAACATGAGTCCAGAGTAGTGTCCGTGTCAGTGATGGTAACAGCTCGAAAACTTTGCAAATGGAAAACAAAATCCCTTTCATTTAGAGCCCTGCATCACAGCTGATTTTCATATTTCAGTGACATCAGTTTCATTTCAGCATGTCATTAACCTGCTTTCACACATGTGCCTTCATGCAGAGTCGAACATTTATCATGATGAAATATCCTGTGCAATCTACACTTTTTAAAGAAGTGGTATTGGAATACTTTTTCACTATACCTATGTTGGAGTTATGGGATATAAACAAATTATATCTAGTATACGGAGGATTTTATTGTATTTATTTATTTTAAGAAAACAGGTTGCAGAAAATTTTCACCTCATTCAGAGGACAGAGCCTGAAGAGTCACAAAATTGAGGATTATTTGAAAATGTACACAGACATATAAAGAGTTGATCTATTCACCCCTACTTAATATGGCACAGCAGGATCTTTTCCTTCCTCTTCTATCGCTGGCGTCCGTTGCAGGGGAGAGCTGGGTGTCTCTCTTATCTGTGACTCATTAACTGATAAAAAAAGTACACACAGCAGTCGGCTCTCATCCCATCACCTGGTTTAAAAAGTGCAGGAAGCCACAAGCTGCCATAGACAAGGAAGTCAGCTTTAATATTTCTCAGTAAACACTGTTATGGACTCTTATAGGATCAGAACTACTGCACGATGTGGCAGACAGTCTTATGGGTATCGCCGAGAAAACCCCCACACACTCTCCCACTGTAAAATGTAAATGAACACTATCTAGATTTCAGAGGTGTGCCAATGTTTATATGTGCCGGTTCTAAAAAATATAACCAGCAACAAGACAGAAAGCCTGTTTGGAGTCTTAACTGTGCAGGAACAGATGTCCCACAGTGCATCTGATGCAGAGACAACGTTACAGCAGGATAAACAGTGTGATCCATGGGGGTTATTTACACCTGAAACAAGGTTAGCCACATTTCACTCAGTCAGAGCAAATCAGAAATGAGTTTATAGCTGCATTTATTGACTTTGTTTTGTTTGTTTGTTTTTTGATGTTTCATGAATGATAAACGATGAATCATCTCAGCTGCTTGTATGAGAAACTTGTGTTTTATATATTTATATTACACAAGTTATATGCTACATCCTGACCCCTGAGGCTCGGTTTTTGAGCAGGGTTATCCTGAGGCGTGTGTCTGGGGCGTGCTGAATCTCATGTACTTTTGTGGTTAGCCGTACTTGCAACTGCAGGGCACTTAGGCGCAGGGTGGGATGAAAAGAAAACTAAGAGGATGTCTGAGGTAATGACAATGACAATGCCTTAATTTTGACTTTTAATTCAGTTCAGTCCCATTCAAAAAACTGAGTCTGCCCTGAAGGGATCCACAGAGTACAAGTATTAGAACTCAAAACCAAGTATAAAAGAAACACTATAATACATATCACAGCAACAGTGCATGATTAATGATAAATGAAAAATGAAGAAAAAGGGCTGTCAAAGGATTAAATTCATTAATCATGATTAATCCCAGGATTGTTCAGTAACAAGACAAATCTCAAATTAATTATGCAGTTTTTTAACTGTTGTAAAAGTAACTTGAGGGGATATTTGTTCAGTTTTTAACACTTTTATCAAAAGGAAAGAGGACAATAACAAATAAAGGTTTAATTTAAAAATAAAGGAATAAATGATTGTTTAATGTAAATGTTTTAATATGTATGAAGGTCTGTAGGAGCCACTACAAAAACTACGGGTAATTTAATTCACTGAATATTTTCTGACTTAAAAGACAGAATTCTAAGTTTAGAGTCACAATTCTGAGATTGAAGTGAATATTTTTATTTTTTCCATAATTCTGAGATTTTCTTTGGATTAAGGATTGTGAAAATGTGTCTCCAAATTCTTTGAAGAAAAGTCTGAACTCTGAAAAAGTCAAAGTTGAAGAAGTTTCACCCTTTTTAATTTCACAGCCCTATCCTTTTTGATGTTAATGTACTGATATAAAGTGATATTGTATGGATATACTGTATGTATTTATGGCTGATGATCAGACTAATGAAGGCAAACAAATATATGTTGACAGAGCCGTGAAGAAATTGATTTATACTGAGTGAGTAAAATCAATAAAATGAGTAAAGTAAGTACAGTGTTTAAGGACAGTAATATAATACAGTAATATAGTAAACTAAAACCAAGTATGACCTGTGGAGGACTAAAGAACTGCTCTTTGTGGATCTACTCTAACTGCTCTTTGTGCCATTAAAAAAAGATAAAGAACTGTTTCCACACATGCACAGACTTCACATTTAATGGCAGACATGGTTGGGTTGATCCATCAAGAGAGGAACTCACATGTATGCTACCAAACCAGTGAGAAATTATCGCATGAAAAAAATTGCACCAGGCTCTTAGAGTTTTATTATCCCAGTTTTTTTTTTTTTCCATGTAAGCCAGGTGTGTAACTTCCTCAGAATTTATAAAGATTTCCTGTGTAATAAAGCCTCAGATGGCAGCAGTCACACATCTTACTAGCTCGCTGTTTCTCAAAGTCTCTGCAACCCTCTAACCTAGTTTATGCTTTTTTTTTTTTTAAGTATCCGTTTATTTGTGATTACCTAAAAGTTTCTTGAGTCACGGCCTTTGAGTCAAACATGCAAGGTTTCTTCACTCTGGCTTTAGGAATGTTTACTCTGTCTTGTTTGCACATAGAAGCACAAGTTAACTCGAAACTGGAAATAAAAAAAAATCAGTCTTAATTTGGTTAAACATTAATTCATGAGACAATGTAAATCGATTTCCAGCGAATTCACCATACCTTACCATAGGCTGCACAGATTACATGCAAACAGACTGTTTATGAGTGGGGATGTTTAAAGGAGGCTCAATATATACAGAGTATGAGCTTCTGTTGGTTTCTCTCTACAGTTATGTTTGGATCTTAAATTGTTCGTGGCTGCAGGTTGTTGCTTTTTCACTCGCTGGTGGTTTTGTGTCAGAATGTTGTTTTTTTTAATGCGCTGACGATAAAAGGATTGTCATTGAGATTCAGCTTCTAAAGTCAGAATCTGACGACTTTAAGTCCAGATCTCTGACTTTGTTAAGCATGCATGTTTTTTTTGATTTACGTAACAGAGGTGGCAAGATCTCAGGAAAATACTCTTCAGAGATTAAACCTGTCAGCTGAAAGCAAGTTGAACTGAAAATATATGGAAACAGAAATTTTAAACTAAACAAGGTACGTACAGTAGTTACTGTAAGACTGGTCCCTTTTTTTCTGTATAGCTCAATTTTTCAAAGTTATTAGGGGGTTCATGGTTTCTATGATTGACACTTGATTCCGCCTATTGGCGTACAAAGAATGCGTAGCTCACCTGGGGGATACGCTGTTCAAGCTGAGCGTCATCACAGCGACTCTACCACCAAATGCGTACAACACTACTGCGCCAGTGGTGGTTCCAGGGAGTGAAGAAAATCCTGGAAATACTGAGAGCAATTCGGCTTCAAATTCGTATAATGGTGGAAGGCGGAGCCAAGTTGTCCATACAGTCTATGGTCAAAACATCTTGATGGTGACTGTCATTTCTAAATAGCCATAAAATAACCAGATCACATGTGAACTCAAATCTATTGGCAAAAAGGAGTTTCATTATGGTATGTTTGCTGAACAGTATGATTTTAATTATTTCTGTCGACAGTTTGAAAAAAAGGTCACTCTCAAATAGTTGCAGTGCACAACTTGGAGGAAATCTTTTAAATATTATAACGTTATTATATTAACAGTCGAGGAAAGATGGAGCCGAGTCATAGAGACATCAACCAAATTAAAGAAAACAGCCATAAAGTATAAACATAAACCACAACAGGGAATGGATTTGAAAGTGTTACAGGATGGGCTAAGTGAAGAAAAAACACTGACCATCTTTAAAAGCCACATGAGGAGGATCTTAGGGTTTAGGGTTAGTACCTTACTAATCAATTACATCAGTACATCTTCTGCCAACAGTTGAGGTAGTTGACCCACCTGGTGTAAATTCAACGTAACGTTCACTTTATATATCATTATTCTAATGAGATTATGACTTAATTCAGAAAGCTCATGTGGTTTATGCTTAAACGAGAGTGAAAGTCAGGAGAAAACATGTTTAGCTTCAGCCAAGAAATGATTAAAAAGTCAGACAGGAGCTGCTCTGTAACACCAGACAGACAATAACTTCTTAGCAACAGACGAGCCCCCGGCCATTGTTCCTCTCTTTTAAACACCCGGTTTAGATGATTCATTTGTTTGTCTCTGCTCAAAGTCTTGCATACAAATTTCAGCACATCCAATGGAGAGGGAAATTGCAAAATGTCCTGTTATGCAGAAAAACCTTTGTGAGTTCTTAAAAAGTACTCATTTCTGGCTGGAGGCATCAGAGTGTGTTGTCGGCTGTCTGACCTGAGATGGCAGGGCTTGACTCGAAAACAAAGACAGATGCTTTGTTGACAGTTTTACTGCTTGGACGAGGATTTATTTACTTCAGAAGAGCCAGAGCTCTAAGAGGGACAAAAACAGAGACTATCCCACAAACCAGCGGCAGGAAAAGTCCTGCAGCTACAAAACAAAATATGAAAACAATATATCCTTTTAAACTTGGCCAAAGTGTGAGTGGGAGCTCAGAAAGGATGACACACTCTGCTCCCAGCCTCCCTCATCCATACTCCCCATACCTCCAACCCCTAATCTCGACTGCAGATGCAAATAGTGTAAAAAACGTCCCTACCAAACATTTGCATTTAAACAAATGGACAATGATCATTTTGAAAAGCTGCCTCCTCATGACTGCAGTGAGAGGTGGCATGTTCCCTGTGTCCCTGCCCTCCTCACCGTGTAGTTAAAGCTCCCGCCGTGGCGAGCCACACACAGTATGGTGCTGCTCACTGGGATTTAGCTACTGTAGGCAAATACAAGAGAGGGAGAGCACAGAGGCCCCTGTGTGTGTGTGTGTGTGTATGTGTTTGTGTGTGTGTGTCAGACTGCTGCACAGCATCATGGACACAGGTGAGACACTCATTCTTATACAGGCTGACAGCTGCTGCTCCTGCTGTCACTCTTATTGTACAAGTTATGTCTTTTTTTCTGCATATAATTTACAAACGTTTTAACTTATAAAGTTCAACTTTTTTGATTTTATGCTTGTGCTTTTATTTTGAAGTTTATTTTGGAAACTGAACTGGATTCAATCTGTGACAGTTTAGGAATAAAAAAATTGAACTTTTAAAAGTTAAATTTGTGAAGTTAGCTGATGTTTGATTTGATTTAGATTCAGGATGTTTAATTTAACTCTGTGCTTTTTTTGTTTTAGTTATAAGGTCCGTTGATTTTTGTAAGCAGGGCATTTTTTCTATCACTTCACGACATGTCTGCTTGAATTAATATTTTTTGTTCCTTGATTTGGATTTTATTTGCTGAATAAGTTAATTACATACTGTGATATCAGATATGTATCAACATGAGCAATTTAAGATATCAAAAAAAGCAATTTCACGCTCTCTTTATTCAGTTTGAATAAATCAGTGTTTGATATTTGGAATATTTTAAATCTAAAATAACCAAAAATGGTCAGAGTTTCAAAATATCACATAAACACATGTTAATTTAATCTAAAATCCAACTGAGCTGAGTGTCTTTTTAGCATAGACATTTTTACTTTGGTGTAATTGACTAAGAATTAAAGTTTTTGTTTGTCCTGGCCTCTGGTTATGAAAATTGTTTAAAGCTTCTGTGAGATTTTTTTTTTGACATGTATATAACAGACTTAAATTCATATTAATGCCTTAATGTGATCTTTGAAAGACAAAAAAAAAAAAAAAGCAATATTCATAATGTCTTTGTTAATTTCCAAAACTGGTGCAGGGGGTAGGTGTCAGCTAAGCAGATGAAGAAACAGCCCGGTTTCTATAATTTCCACATATAATATACACAACAATCGATACATTTGATCATCAAAAGTCAGCATGATGAGACTCTTCTTGGCTGAGGACACTACATAAGCCTGTAGAGGACAAGATAGGCAAAGATTGTATTATCCACAGGGGGCGCCAAATGGACCCAGAGGTTTCTCACAGGAGCTTTAAATTGACAAATCAACTTAACCATGTTTTCAGCTTTTTCTATTGAAATGAGTCCAGCTCCTATTGTTGTAAAACTAATATAAAATCAAATAGGATCTAGGAGAGTTAGTCCAGTGTGCAGTGAGGCTCAGTGAATAACACAAGACAAATATCAGAGCCTCAAATGATGGCAACAACCCTCACTCTCAGCTGGTGATGGATGGATGCCCTAAGTGATGCATTCATCCACCTTCTCTGTCATCTCTTAAGCTTTTCTGCTTTCAAAGATATGTTTTATTACTGCAAAGTCCAGAGTTTGTTGCTTCGGTGCAGTAGCCTTTTTTCTCTGTTGCTTTAGTGAGCACAGTGTTGCATGTTGAGTTTCTATTTACTGTATTGCTACCTTGCAGTACAGTCAAATTGCATGAATACAAAGTGGCTGTTGGACTGATTCTTTCAGCCTTGGGGGTTGCTTGTGCCAAGTTAGTTGCCTCTTTGTTGTGTTGTGCTCCAAAACGTGCTGACTTTACAACAGCTGACATAAATGAATTGCTGATGCCTGATCAGTTCAAAAATGCTCTCATGGGCTGCGATCCCATCATGAAGATCCAAATAGGGACATCCTAAGGGGATGATGAGGGGAGCCCAGGCTTATCTACAATATCAGTTTAAAAAGGTTGCATCTTTTACATAAAGTTTTTTGCATGCAACACCCTTTTGCATAATAAAGTTTGCATTTTTATTGAGTTTATGCTTTGCTCTCCAGGAATATCCCCAAATCACAGCCTGCACACCTTTGAGATTTGTGAAGATTAATTTTATATTTAACCAGCTTCATCTGTGCTGCAACTTTCAGACATTTCTTTGTTTTTATCATCACCCAAACTCCTCTAGTTTTGTTTTCTTGCTGTGAGTGCTTGCAGCAAATTGCCTCTTTTTAGCTGTCCATTTGCATTGACCAAACCAAAGGCGATTTCCATGACATTTACACACCAATCCCAAAGAACCATTCGCCTATATGAATAAAACTGTCGAACATTCAAATGAACACTCATTTGTGGGGATGAATGAAAATTTGTATGAAGTCAAACTGTTGCTAGATTTGTATCTTTTCTGTATGTTGATTCCTAAGCCGTCTCTCTTCCCCGTGTAGAATACTCTAAAAGGGTGTACCAAGGCGTCCGAGTGAAGCACACAGTCAAAGACCTGCTGGCGGAGAAGCGATCCCGACAGACAAACGGACCCAGATACAGTGTAAGCACAACCTCCTCTAAACCACTCTGCTTTTGTCTCTCCTGTCTCTCCCCACTTCATTTTTCTCCCAAACCAAACAACGCAGCCACAGTTGACATTCTGTTGGTGACACAATTAAGAGGTCGCCTTTTTAAAAAAATCTCCTCTCCTTGTTTACATTTTGGCTCGTTTTGTGCGCCAACGATCCATGGTCGATCCATTGACCACCTGTACCTCCCCCCCTCTTTTCTCCTGCTCCCCTCAGGCACTCTTAAAGCCATTCTGTAAATATCTGTGTGTAGAGAGGGACACAAAGGCCTCACAAAAGAATACTGACACAATGCTCGCAGAGGTAGCAGCCATTAAATCCTACAAACTCCCCTGAGGTGGAGGTGGGGGCGGGGTGGGAAGCCTGGGGTGGACAGGTAGGCAGAAAAAGGGCCAGTGAAGGAAGCTTCCTATGCAAAGTTTGATCCCCTGCACACCTGCCAGTTCACATTGTCCTGTGCCATGTACAGGCCACAGACAAGCCTCCTATTGTTGTCTCAGGAACACACGCCAGCACACTCTCTCACACACAGCCGCAGATTCTGCTTTAGACGTCTGCATGCACAAGCACGACTGGGCTTTTCAGTTTGCACAAACCGCCTGTCAAAAGGCTTTTCCAGGACAGCGCTCACTGTTTGCTCTCCGTTCAGCATCGGCATGTCCACTCTATAGATATGCATGCTGCTAGTGTCTCGTATAATGAGAGAATTGAGAGAGAGACAAAGGAGAAGATACAATAAGGAAAGAGAGAGAGAGAGTGAAAGGTCCAACTATGACCCTCCTCTGGTGCAAAGTTGGAAATTATAAATTACCTGCTGAAACTTTACAAGACTAAAATATTAATGCAAACAGAATTTAATGTTTTACACATCACCTAAATCCTTTATTAAAATGAAAATTGAACAAAGAAAAACGTTGACACTGATTTTCTTATATATTATGAAAATTATATGCTTATTTTAAAATTGATGCAAGAAACAGGTTTTTAAAAAATTGGACAGGGACAACAAAACAAAACAAAAAAAAGTAAAAAAAAAAGGTGGTGAGTAACATGACTGCAAAAGCTAGAGAGCTTGGGTCTCTCATAAGTAAAGCTAAACAATTTCACGATGTTTCCTTCAGGTGGCAAAAACATGGGCGACTCTGTAGTGGAAGTCAATGCATATGCTCAAAATCAGTGGTAAAAAAAACAACAACAATGCCTGTGAATGCAGTTTGTTTCTGCATCTACACAAGCAGGTAAAGATTGTAATAAACAGTAAACCACATTAAAAACATGACCCAGACTCACTGGCCAAAGATCCACTCGGTGCGTTTACATGATGTTCTAAAACATGAATCTATCACCTCAGTTTGACTGAAACTGGACTTTCAAAAAGCATGTCAACAGTCTGACTTAAATCACGCGAAATCAAACTTCTCTCAGTCGGACTAACATACCTGGATTATGTGGTCAGGGACTGATTTCCTCTTCCATATACGCCTCAGTCAGACTAAAACTGGTCTAACCGTTCTAAGCATGCTCAGGCTTTAATCTGGAAGTAATAAATACGAAGATGGGTGGTGAACAAAACCTTAGCAGTGAAGGGAATGTAAAAATAGATAAAGTTGTTGTATTATACAAAAAATGACAGAGCTGCAATAGAAACAGTGTTTTAATTTCTATTTTTATTTTTAATGTTTGTTTTGGTACGTAGGTCATGCCCAGTCATAATGAACCAAAAGGGAGCATGTTGCAGAGGTGGATATGTTTCTGTCAAAATATTAATTCTTGTCCAGAGCCTGTAAACTGGGACAAGAACAGCAGTCTAGTTCACTCATCTAATTGAGCTTAACTTAACATGCATGTAAACATTATGGCTGCTCTCCTCTACTATTATCTACACAACCAAGTAGTTTTTATATCAAATTGAATATGGACTGAGGTGGAGATGAAAGGAGCCTTTGGTGTTTTGTTAAAATTTGACATTCTTTGTGGAAATCATGGACACCATTTCCTAGGCTCCAAAGAGCAGAAGGACTACCTAGTCTTAGCTTTTCACCCACTGAAAACTTTTGTCATAACAAAAAAACATGCCAAAGGAAACCCTGAACTGAGCTGTTAAAAAAGGGACATTTCACCCTCAGAAGTCCAGAAACTGGTCTTCTTGGTTACCAAACGTTTACAGAGTCCTTAAAAGCAGAAGAAAACATGCAACACTGGAAATCATAAATCATGGTCAGTTTTTTACTCTTATGAAATCAGGGTTACAATAATAATACGACACCCTGATGTTTAAAAATAGAAACATCCAGTGATTTGTATTAGACACATTGCTGTACTTTTAAAAAATTAAACTCTTTAACAACTTTGGAAACACTAGAAAGAGCGAGCTGGATACCATTTCTGCTGTGACAAAGAGACTTTTGACTTTATTGCAGGTAGCGGAAAGGTCACAGCGGTTTAGTTGTGTACAGGGAAAGTACAGAGTAGGAAGACAGCAGTGGTTGTCAGCTGTACTGGTGATAGATCGGAACTTTATTTAAACACAAATTCCCTGGAGCTAAAAGATCGAATATACATGTGGCTGAGTTCAGCTTCAGTTGGCAAAGACAAACAAATATTTGGAGGGTGCAGGTGGCAAACAGGGACAGTAGAGCTGGTAAGAACGCCACATTAGGTCATCACTGTTTAAATCACCCATTTAGGATGTATTTTATCTCAGAAGAAAGTAAAACATAAGAGGAAGTTTAGGGAGATGCAGTGCCCCCCTGGTTTCTGGATTAGTGTTTTCAAGCCTTGAGGCTGGCCGTTGGTATCTTTAAAGTCAGAAATGGCAGTATTTGGATGTGAAGTTTGTGATGATATTTAGAAAATAGGACAAAAAGGAGACTCTCAGATTGTCCAGGAAAAAAAGCAGGACAGCCTGTTGTTTCTTAACAAATGTCACTAAGGCGTGTTTTCTGTTCGGGTTTATCAGCAGTTCTGTTCTGTTCATCTACCTTACAGTTAAAAAAGAGAATAACTCCAAACCCAATAAGTTCCAGCCTGAGCTTATTTGCATGGGGAACATTTCTTTACAGTGAAAAATCAAATGTAAATCCTCAGTGAGAGCAAAAATTTAGAGATCAAGTTGAAAAAAAAGTGTATACAAGCCTCTTAGGGGCAGAGGGGGCAGGTTTAAGTTACAGAAAGCTAGAGCAAAGAGTAGTCTGAAAGTATTGACAGACAACCTTGTGCATGATTGGTTTTATTCGTACTGCTTGATTCTATATATGTGGAGTCAAAGTCCTCTGACCTGTGAGAGACAGAGGCTGAGATGTATTTCACAGGTGAGCATCACGCAACAAAGGACAGGGATAATTTAGTGAGTGCAGAACACATAGTCAACATGACACCAAGTCCTGACCTGCAGCATGTGGAAGCAGCAGCAGGTTGAAGTGGAGACAAGTGTCTCCGTCAGGGGTCAACGAGTCCACAGAGGACTAAATAATCACAGCTCACTGAAAGGCTTTTTTATCCTCACAGGATAGAACCAACAAGCTCAAGTTTCTGAATTACCTTCAAATTCGGTGACTAAGATTCACTTTGATAGTGTTTTTGTCATCTTAAAACTGAGCTGCATTCTTTACATCAGTATGACCAATAACCCTGATTTAAAATACATGCAGCGGTATAATGTCCAGAAGCTGACGCTCAAAGAAGCATCTTTGGACGAAAGGAAACAGCCTCTAAGCCTGTCAACAGCCTGTTCGCTGAGCAACACTCTATACTACAGTCCCTCCAAAATCCACAGCAGAATTCAATTATTTATATGCACTCAAGGTAGACTATGTATTATAAAGAGGAGCTGTTTTGCAGGGTCATCGAGTGTCAGAGAGATTCACAGATGAATTGAGTGCTTCTCAGCCTCACCTCTGTGCATGTAGAAATGAGGCATAAGATAAGGAAAAGACAAAGCTGTTGTATCGTACATACTGGGCTGTTGCAGTTTACCAGTATTGGTGATAAACATCAGTAAAAATAAAGAATATGTATATGGTGCTGATAAACATTTAGTAAAACTGAGTTCATAATAGTGGTTTCTTACTGATGGTTGCCACGTCATAAAACAGAGGATAGAAGAAGAAGAGTAACAGCTGAAATAGACCTCTGAGAGATGATTAGACACCTTTTTTTCCAACTTTCCCCAACATATGAAGTTGTATATTTCAAAATAAAATATCAAAATGTAGGATAAAGGGCAACCAAAGCACAAGACAGGATAAATGTCAAACAAATGTTCAATAAGCAAAGTCCTCTCATTCATAAATACTTCAATAATATGGTTATATCATATTGTTATTGTTAGTGCAGTATGAATACTCATAATAGAAATCTGGACAGACCAAGTCCAACTGAGCTGCTGCTGTAAAGGATATTTTAGTATTTATTTAGCCAAAAGAAACCTACAGTAGTCAGACTCTGAGGTAGTTTGATAACATCTTCATGCAAAGAAAGTTGATTTACAACAAAAAAGTCATTTACAGAAACAGTTCTTTAAATTTCTTTGAGGGAACCTTCCCAAAAGGATAAATAAAGCTGTATCTAATCTAATTTAGTGTAAAGGTCATTTTTAACCTTCTATTTCAGGTCAAAGTATAGAAAGGTGATACCCAGCCCAGACTGTGCTGTGAATTTCAGCACCTTTTCACTGCTTGTGTACTTGTAAATGACGCATGAAGTCCTTATCATGCACAGAGACTCACAGTCACTAAAGCCTGCCCTGTCCTCATGTGAGCTAATGCCACCTTTTATCAGAGGGAATAAAAGGCCATTGAGAGCTTAGAGCAAACTCTGACCACAGACTCAGACTCCTCATGTCGGGACACGGAGAGCCAGAGTGAAAATAGAGCGACGTCTAACATCATTTCACCTCATCTGTTTCTCTTTTTTGAGAACGTTTCCATTGAGGCGCTGTGCCCAAACACGCTGCTGTTGCATAAATGATGAAGGACTGTGAGAAATGAAGCTGGTGACATTTTATTTCACTGAATAGACTTTGTGTGATGGGTCAGACGTCAAACAAGAACTCACAAAACAAAATAAGACTGGACTTAAATGATCCCTGTCAGGGGATTGTGGTACTTCAGGAGCAAACATGATCAGATAAACTGCATTTAACAGATTTATAACAAAATATACTGAATAGTTTTAAAAAGAAAGTCCCTAAAAGTGAAGGTACTGAATTGGAGGAACACACCACACACTTAAAAAGAACTACCACAGTCATTTCTTCATATGTTAGAATATAAAATATGTTTCTGTAGGTAGGAGTGCAGGATGACGGAAGGAGCTTTAGTTCTAAATACAGTGAAGTGAAATAACATCCATCACTACCCCCCTCTTCTTCTCCTCCTTGCACTCACAAACATGCACACAGGGCCTGACGGTGGGAGCTTGAGCCAGCTGATTTCCATACGCAGCCTTCAGAGATGCACTGAGCCGTACTAGGGCCACATGAGGAAGTCTTGGCGCTGGCAAATCACATTCAAATTCTGCCCTCAAAATTTGTTTGCCTCCCAGCCAACGCAGGCTTAATATCAACTCTGTCATGTTAGCAATATGCAAAGAAGTGAGCCTATCCTGTCAAACCCTGTCTGCGCAGCCCTGCACTCTGATCGCACGGACTCTGCATGAAATTAGCCTTAGAGAAGAAATGCAGATAGACGACGAGAGAAGAATACAGTACAGACATGCCAGCTCTGTTTACAGCCTGTTATTCATTCATGTTCACATTCATACAAGATGGGGAATAAGCTTACAACGAGAGGATGTAGCAAGACAATCGATCAGCTTTATGTGGTGCTGTTTCATCTCAAGACTTTTCCCAAAAAAGCAGGTCCAGACTTCTTGATATGTATATATTTGTGATCCAGAAACAAAATAAATTCACAGACCAAACACCAGGAAAACTGGTTCAATAGGCAGAAACCTCAAGCAGAACCAGAGTCGATGGTGATTGGCCATCTGATGTGAGGGGATGAGCTACGGCAGTGAGAGACAGACGGATCAGGATATGCACAAGTTATAATAAATGTAGTAAATTTAAAGTTGAAATTCCAACAATTATAGTAGAATGGAGTCAAATAAACTACAGTTTGAATATGGGGCATATCAAATATGCAGCACCCTCTGTCTGCTGGTCCTTTTAGGTTTCGGACCCTGAAGCTGCCCGACCTGCTGCTCATTTCAGCATGTTATTTCCTGCTCTCTATTTCCGCTTTCTCACCGTGTCCTCCGTCCTCCTGTCAGCCAAATAAGATCATAAAAAAACCTTAAATGAGTGAATGAAAGCTCCTTTGGGGAGTTTTTGGCTGGTCATTGACAAGAATGAAAATTATGTTTGTGCATCCAGATACCATAAATCGGCTAAGAGGTTTGTTTTTCACTGGAGCTTTAATACATAAACAACAGCTGTGATATATTTGAGTACCTGGACACTCTGCCCTGTCGTCATGTCTGAATCTTTAAAAGTATTTGATGGATTGTGAAACAAATTCTTGCTTAAAAACAGTTTTTATGTCCTTTTTAGACTACAGACAGAGTAGTCCTGCTGTGTTGGATGTTATCAGAATAGCACTTCTATTAAAAAGTGAATATTAAAGCGTCTGTATGGAACTTATAGTTTATTTACAACTCTTATGAAAAAAAAAAGGTTTAGTGTCTCAACTTTCTGACTTTAAGCACTCTGTTAAACTATCTCATAAAATCTGAACAGACTTTTTGTGAGCATCATAAAACAGAGCTGTTTCTGTCTCTTCATTGCTCAGTTGACACCTTTCCCCTCACACTGTTTCAGACATTGAAAATAATGATTTTTACATTCACCAGTTTAGTTCTTCATGGTCTTATTTGCTTTCATAAAAAGCATCAATCGATTTTTAAGTTTATTTCATAACCTTAAAAAACTCCTTACTGGAGCTTTAACTTCATGTTTTTGGCTTCTGGTGTTTTTATTTTCCTTCTTTCTTTTGTTTTGTGTATGGAAGTTTGCAGGATATTATTTGTTGGCATTATTGCAACACAGAGCATTTAATGGAAGTGAAGTTCATCAGTCTTTCCAATGATGCGTGACCACACTGGTGTGTTAGGACTTTTTTGACTGGGGTGGTTCAGTATTACCTTGTGAGTTTCAAGGATACACACAACATCTGTTTGATAACCAAGTAGGTATGGTCAGTAACATCAAATAGGGTCAATAAATGTTATTAATTTATGTAGGTGCACACACATGATTCATGTTGCCCCCTTAATCTGTATATGGCATTATTTAAATCTTAAGGTTGCCAAAAGTCTGATGATCAAAGACGTAATACTGTAGAAACTCTTTGATGATGTAGATTAAAGCATGTTACACAGCCAAAAGACAATCTAAAACATCATATACGAAACCCAGAACAAGTATCTGTTTCTGATTATTTCAGATTTAAGAATATAAAACTGCTCTGTTTAAAAAGATATACATGTTTAAATAACTCACAGATGGACTCAGCTTTAGTCTTTGTATGAATGGTTTCATGTTTGCACCGATGAGCTCATGCTGATTCCCAAAAACATGACGTGACAACCACATCTGATAAGCTTCCATGGTAGCCAAACAATAATAAACCCTCCAGCTTTTGGCTTTACCTGCACATCATTTATGACTGTGTAGAGACTTCGTTATCCCAACATTTCAGTTGGACTTTGATTTTACCTCCTGTTTAATATGATGCATACTAAGTACCTGACTGCATCTTGGGGAGCCATTTTTGAAAAAAACTGATGAGACGTAAAAAATCACATCCTTTTTCCTGTAAAAGTAAAGAAATAGACGTTCAAATTCTCATGAGTGAACTTTAATTTCAATTTTTTTAAACTATGATATTTGGATGAATACTTGATAAATATATATGGATATTCAGGAAGTTTGACACAGTCCAGTCATTGTGGTATAAATTTCCATTTTATGAGGGAGACTTTCACCCACATTGGAAAAACACAGGGATGCACACAGAGGGAGCTCTAACCTTTACTTTAAGAAGATTTAATGTGTTTGTAGTTTTAAAAGAGGAAGTAAAAATGTTTGGCCAGTGTGGAAAACATCCAATTACATATTTTCTTTATTTGTTGTTTAGATATACGGACGTTCAAATAGCTAGCCCTGCAGAAGAAACTGACGTGTCATTTCTTTAAAAAAAAAAATCTCTGAGTCATTTTAATGATTCATCTTTTATTGTTGGAATCTCCATCCTTGTTTTATAAGTGTTTTTATTTCCACAGGGAGGATCTGCCAGTCCACCTTCATTCGTCAATATGCCAGGTGAGATTCAGCAAACCAAACACAACAACAAAGACAGTCACGCACACACACTTTATACAGCAGAATAACTAAGGAGATTTTACTGTCAACACACAAAGTGTGGTTACATTTTCTAAAAAAAACTTGTCAATTTATGAGTTTACTCTCACAGATTTACAAGAATGGAGTTGTACTTTTATGAGAAAATGGAGATAATCTTTATTGTTTGCATTTACATTGTTTTCAAAGGAAAGATCAACAAAGCAGCCAGCTGCCTTTTTAAATACAAGTGATAAACTTCACACATCACTAAATACCCAAACTTTAAGTATATCAGTAGCACAGTTTTTTAGTATTAGGATTATGAATCTATAACCTCCAAAAAGATGGGCACCTGTGCCGACTTAACTGCCGTTTATTTTTACCGGTCGAGTTCAACTTCACAAGAGGATCAACATGTCCTCTTTTAGTGCTATCAGCAGCTGGCTGCTCTTTCAGTGAATTATTAGGAAATTTACTCTGCAAAAACTCAAATCTTAGCCAGTGTAAGCTAAGTGAAGTCAAAAAAGGGTTTTATCAGTTTAATTTGAACCATTTTCACTGGAGAAGTCCTGGAAATTTTCATTTTTCAGGCTGGTATACACCATGAAAACAGTCTGACCAGCACCTCTTATTTTAGAAACTTGCAAACTTAATTTTTTCTGATTCCATCTGAAGTCTCTTTTTACCCGTTACAAATGATACACTTCAAATTTTTGCATGTTATATCTTGAAATGGGACATTTTCCTTGACTTTTCAGGTGAATATGGCTTAAATTCAATCTAATAGAAAAAAAAAGAAGTCTCTAAGCTTTCAGAACTTTATACTTGTACATTTTTACTCCTTTCTCCTAAATTTTACACCATCTTATCAGAAAAACAATCAGTTACACAATTAACACAGATACATTGGAAAAACAAGTTTCCTGGTATGTGGACGTCTGCTTCAAACTTGTCAGCTCAGTGTTTGTTTGAAAAGTTTTTCATCAACATTAGAATAAAGAAGAGTTATAACCTGTAATAAGAAGTTATGTAGACTATGTTAGCTAAAGCACTATTTCATATCAGTGTTCTACCTGCATTAGAAAGCCAAAAATGGATAGATCTGATTTCCCAGTTTGGAAAAAAGGCATGAATGCAGCACAGGTCTGTGTTTTAAAGAGTCGATGATCCTCAGTCTAATCTGACTCTAAAGCTCCACATCCTCGCTCTCTGCAGGCTCTCACATGCTGCCCAGTTACTACAGCATGAGGCGCCCCTTCATGTCAGACTCAGACTTCTGCCCGTCCACCAAGCAGTTCTCCCCAGACGTCTACTCCTCCACACTGGGGGGCAAACCTCTGAGCTGTGAGCCCTCCAGCATGAGCAGCTACTCCTCCCTTATTGATAGCTACTACCCAGAGACCTTTGGTGATTACCGCAGCGCCGCCGCCTTTTCCAGCTCTGGAGGATCCTTCCTGCCCTCTTCAGCCCTCTCCTCTCTGCTGCCCCCTTTCAGTGGAGAGTCCTCGCATTTATTCTTGGTAAGATAGAGGCCCTTTGTGTAATTGACTATGACAGAGATGAGTATATAAAGAAAATTAATCAAATCCACATTTTAAGTCCTTTTAGTTGTCAAGCTTACCTATGTGAATTATTGTTTTTGCAGGGCCAATACAAATGTGCGTGAAAAATAGAAGAAGGGAAAGATTTTATGGTCAAGCTCAAAAACAAAATCAAACTTTCACAATTTTTTAGCACAAAGATTTCTTGTTGCATCATTACCAAGATGTTCAACTCTCTTTCAGTGTTTTTTTTTTTTCCCATTCAGAGCATTTTACCTGCAATGAACTGTAGGTCATAAAAGTGGATAAAAAATGTGAGGAGAGAGTTTTATTTTTAAAATGCAGGTTGGGAGAAAAGACAACAGAAAAAAAACAAACAAACAAAAAAAACTCATCCCAACTTTTTTAAGAGCTGGAAATTCAACTATGAGCAAAAAGTCAGTGAAAGCTTTTTGGTGACATCACTCTTAAACATTTTTAAGGTGAAGGATGACAAAAAGTCTATTTTGGAGGGAGATGCACTATGGGAAAAAAGATTAAAAAACTTGTATTTCAAGATTTAATGTGAGGTGACCATAAAAAGTCTGACAACAGTTGGAGAATAAAGCAGAAACATTACACATCCACTTAAACGCCTTTAAATAAAGAGCTAATACATTATAAAAACACGTGGTAAGCATGTTCATCTGTTAATCTGCAGACTGTCATCTAACACTGTTGAGGTTAAACCATAGACTGGATCTAAACAGAATATACATACAGTCTATGGGCTGAACCAACACATTATACAGCAGCTTGGCTAACATGATGTAGGCTAATATCAATCCTTTACAAACAAACGAATCAAAAGTTTCCCTTATTCCGTCTCTTTGTTTCATTTGAATCTCACCGATATTGAAACTTATTGAACAGCTGGTTGAGACATGTCAGCCCCTCCTCCACATCATGAAGTTATATCTGTCTACAGAGGGAGGTGAACTGACAGGCTGTGTGATGAGTGATTATCTGATCATTTGTAACAAGTGTAGGCTCATGGTGCTAACTTCAGGGAGCTTTCAGGGAGCTTTCAGGGAGCGTTCAGGGAGATTCCCAGAAGAGACAGCGTAGAAGTTATTATTAGTTCTGGCCCTCATACTCTCTCGTGTCTTCCTCTTTTGTTAACAGTTTTGATCAAATGTGTGGCAGAAATTTTGAAAATGCATTTTTCCTAGACCAGTTAACCTCCTCAGACAACTTTAGGGTAGACTATAAACACCAACAGCAGACAGAGCCTGATGTTTTCTTTTGAAGTATCAGAAATAAATGAAGATTTTTCCTCTGCTATCTTACACCCTCAGAGAGACTCATGGGAGCAGTCTGTCCCTGAACCTGTACCCCCTGTGGAGTCTCTGTGTCCAGACAGCCTGGCCCCCATCAGCGTCCCTCCCTCCATGCCCAGCCCAGACCCCCCTGGAAGCCCCTCCCAGTACCGCTCCCCCAGCAGAGGCTCCTCCATGGTCACCAGCAGCCAGCCCTACACCCTGCACCCTCTGGAGGACGCCCACTACCACCCCCTCACCACCAGCAGCTCCTACCCTCTCCCCTCCACCTCCTTCACCTGCCCCCCTTACATGAGCGGCCCCGTCAGTGACCTGGTGTCCAAGATGGTGACGGAGGAGGCGGGGGAGAGCCACGGCAGCCTCTCTACTAACAGCGAGGGTCACTCCTGCTGGCCCAAAGAGGACGGGGTGAGCTCCTGGTCGCCGTACGAGATCAGGAGAGCTTACTGAGCAGAAATGATACTTTCATGGAGGTTTCACAGACAATTAGAGGAAAGACTGTAAGAGAACAGAGAAACCTCTCTGAGTCAAACAGCTGAGAACTGTTTGCTGAGACAAAGTCACTGCTTTTAAAAAGGAGATTTACAGTTCGATTTGTTTTTTTCATAGAAACTTCTCAGCCTTTGTTTACCAACGTACCCATACTTCACCCTGATCTGATGGGAGAGCTTGTTACTGTGTATAATGTGTGTTGTTCTGTTGGAGTTTGAAGACAAATCATGACAAGTGTGGACTCACAAACAATAAACTTTAGGAGCTTGAGTAAAGTAGTACAGTAAACCTGAAAGGACTACTGTTTTCTGGTAAATCAGGAATCATCAGGATGTGGTAATAATGCTGCATTCACATGGATTCAAGCAGAAAACAAAGAGGTGAAAAATGAAAACATAAGAATTGTGAAATCAGGGCTGCTTCTTCAGCTGCTCAGCTGACACTGACCCTCTCACACGAGTTTTAGGCTGTAAAAATGCTCAGTCTTGCTGATGGTGATAAATCACATCTTTCATTTGGACAAATTCTTATATATTTCACATTTTGAGACACTTTGGGGCTTGAAATCAAGAGTATGAAGCATCTCTTACCTGCAGCTTGATTTGGGAATCAAATAAATACAATGATGTGTGCTTTATGATCCTGATTTTAGACGTGTGTAATAAATGCTGCATTGCTACACCATTTTGTTCTGAAACCATGACATACAGGTATGAGAGAGAAAAAAACACAGATTTATCTTCTTCAGTTATGAAACGCTGTATTTTATAGCTACAGACTTAATGAAAATAATGATATATTTGAAATAACACAATCTTATAACTCAGTATGCTGTTCTCCATCATTTGTTGACAACCTAATATGAAGAGTCATGTCTCTCACTGCCTGCCTCTTCAGACTGTTTGCTTCCTCATGTCGTCCAGGAGGTTTCCATGTGAACGCAGCATTAGCTGTTGGGGGTTCAGACTGTGGAGAAGCACAGATAACGTGTACATCACTGTAGTACTTACACAGATTCATGTTAAGGTGAAAATGAATATAAGCGCAGGATTTTGGCTGTGAAGCTGATTATTAGTTTATTTATTCTTAAGCAGCAACCAGCCAATGGGATTGCAGAGTCAGCTGACTGACCCACATGGACAAACACAACAGCAGGAATGAGCTGATGTGAATTTAAAACTTCAAAAAGTCTTAATTTAGCATGTAAAACTATTTTCATCATCAGGTGTGTTTACATCAGCATATACTGCTGAAAAGTTATTATTGTGCATTTTCTTTACTCAGTCAATAAACTGTTTTCAAATATTTACTGAACTGATCAAAATTAATGGTATAAATGCTTTATAAACCCTTAAATCTTAATAAGAATTTAAAAAGACAACATCAAAATGACCAACTTTTTCATTCTTTTATTCTTTCAACCAAACAAAACACTGTTCAATAAAACATATTATACACTTTTTTTCTTAATGGACAATCCACAAATGTAATAAGATCTTTCAATTCAAGCCAGTCAATATCAAGTGCTAGCAAAGGTGTCAAGTCATGATCATGTTTGGGTTTTAGTTTCTTAAATAAGGTCTGTTTTGGCTTTTTAATGAATTATTTTTTTAGTTTAGTCACACCTCAGCACAGTCCACAGGTCGACTAATGGAAGTGTTGCAACATGAGTTTATGTGAGAAAGTCAGTAAGAAGGTGAAGAAGTAAGTATAAATACAAAAGCAAATCAATAAATAAGTCACTTAAGAGGAAATAAGTCAAGAACTAGATAAATAGACTAATCAGTAAGACTGAGTGTTTCCCTCATGTCAGTGTCATACAACCCAATATTTCACATTATATCATCTTCAAAATGATGCCCCCTTACATAGAATACATAAGATTTGTGGATTTATTCTTGAAAGTACATGATATCATTTAAAAGATTAAAAGAATATCTAAAAGAGAGACAAACAAACACTGCAAGGCTGTGATCTTCTAACCCTCAGGCTGCACTGTATTAAAAACAGACACACTCAGTAGTGGAACAGTATCATGCAAAGAGGGAACAAAATAAACATGATCCAGAACCTCTCTAGGCTGTTTAAGACGAGTCAAAGAGGAAAACTGGTCTTTAGTCTGACAAACCAAAATATGATATAAAAGCTGGAAATCATGGGAGCTGTGTCCAGGTGACCAACTTAAGAGAAGGACTGTAAGGTTTTTAATCAGCACACATATCAAAAGCCGGCATTTTCTCTTTCTTTTTTTCCCTTCTTTCTTTTTATTTATTCCAACCAAGGCAAATTCACAATTTGACAATATCATTGCAAATCAGAATAACTCTTATTCATTGGTTGGAAGGGCTAAGACAGGAAGAAGATACATCTTATATTGCCTGTCCCTCACTCAATGTCTAATTACTATAATAATCTGTCACTGAGCAACATTCATTCATAATGATTCGTACATAAGTATAGCTTACACATATGTAAAGGCATCATCCAAGCCAAACAATAAATACAGGGTTCGGGACAACATTTGCTGCCATATCCAGACATTGGCTCTTACAGGGAAGACTTTCATATTTCAGCGACACAGTGACAACCAATCTGCATGTCTTGGTATCAGATGTGCTGAGGGGGCTGTCTGTTGTCCAAATTTGTCAGCCAATTAAACATTTTGTTTTCGAATTAAGGATAGGGGACACGTACTTTAAAAAGTCAAGAAACTGTCTCCTAAAAAGTTGACAGAGAGTCATTTAAAGACAAAATGCTCCTGTCCCAACTTATTCCAAATGTATTGTTGGCGTCTATAATTCTAATGCAGCACATATTTGTCTTAAAACAATAATATTTTTCTGTTTCATCATTTGATATGTTGTCTTTGCAGTGATTGCAGTTTGCTGTAACATCTAAATAAGTTGCAAATCATTAAATTCTGTTTTGGAACATTTTAGAATTGGAGTCAGACAAAGGCTTGTTACCTGGAGAGAAGTTCTTACATTTGGCCACTAGATGACGCTCTTCTACTGCTGCTGCGGCAGGGCTGTACAGCAGGACAAGGGAAGGAAAGAGGGTGAAGGAGGGACAAACTCTGAATGTAGGAGAGGATGAAGATCGTTTTTAGTGGCTCGTGTAGCGACGATGGAAGTTTGTTATAAAGAAGTTATAAAGATTATTAAAAAAAACGCATTTTTACGACAAAACTGGACAAATACATTATGGACACCTCTGTGAATAATATTTAACATAATATTTAACATCTTTAGACTGTTGTATCACCATATGAAACTACAGCATCCCATAATTTTTCTTAACAGTTAAACAGAGATAATATAATTCAAAGCGGGATTTCAACAACAAAAGATGCTTCATTTTAATAAATAACGTTAGATGGGTTTTGGGGACCAATCTGCAGTTATCTACATCTACTTATATAACACCTAATATCTGTAGCCTATTTCTTTATATTTTGTTAAATGTAGTGAATAACTGCGTAATACCGTTTGAAAAGTAAAGACTAAGGTTAAATTTGAAAAGAGGCTGAAATGCTTCTTTTTGTTTTATTTTACTTTAAAACGCACAGAAATTGTTTCAAAGATCTTAACCAAAATTATTTGATGTGTTAGAGTAGAAAAATGCTTAAGTTTTGATCAGCTGCGGGGAAATTGGGTCTACGTGATTCGGTCCTTATAAGAAACAAAAAATCCGGCAAATAAAAGAATAAAATCATGACTCAAAAATGTAAATAACTGTTTTAGAATATTCCCTTTCCATAAAAAATAAAAGTTTTAAAAGTATTTTAACTTTGAAGAAGAGAGCAGCCGGGTCTCCTCCTTCAGTCCTCAGCAGGTGAGTGCGCTCAGAGCACCTTGCAGGCCCCCGATGCCAAAGATGGCTGCTGCCCTTTGCCACGCCCACTTCTTCCCCACTTTGAGGCGTTTTTCTTTACATTTAAACTTAAATTCGTGTTTAAATATAATTTTGGCGTCAACAATGTTCACAGTAAACACGTGGAAAAGGATAAAAGTGAAATTTGTGCGTAAAAGTTGCGCTGGAAGCATCCAAAGCTGGAGTGCCTAATGAGGGGGTGTGATGCTCTGTTATTGGAAAAGAAAGAAAAAATTAATAAAAGTATGGTTTCTTTTCGGTCAAAGTGTAAAATAATATTATATTACATTAAAGTGAAGCTTATGCAATGTCCATGCGGAGTGATTTTTGTACAAAAATCGATAAAACTCAGTTGCCTCTGAATATTCAAATTCAAAGTAACGCGCAATCAAAGTATTGTCAAATCATTGGGTTCTAGGGGTTTTAAATAGTAGGCATGGAGGGAGAAAATCTCAAACTAATATGTCCCTAGCTATATTACAATATTGCTGTATGCTCTGACTGTGTTTTAAGAGATTTGTGTTGAGATTTTTGGAGACTTTTGCACAAATTTCGTTCTTGGCCATTTTGCTGAGGCAGAAAAGGACGTTGTGGAGTCCCATAGGTCTTTCTCCAGGGAGCCTCTCTTCATCACAGCCATCATGTCTGGTGAGTTTTATGTCGTGTTTTTCATCTGGAGACTCATTTTGTGTATTTTTCACCTGTTAGAAAAGAGAAAAGAGAAAAGGGACAAAGTTTAGAGGCAAAATTGAAAGCAGAACAGAGACACGTGCAAAAAAAAGGAGCAGGTCCTCCTCCAAATGATCTTTCTATGTCATTCTTTAATGCTTTATAAGATGACCAACAGTAAAAATACATTTTGAGAAGGGCTGATATTACTTTCTACTTTTTATGCCACCTGTTTGCTTGTCCGTGGGTGGAACAGGAGTGTCGACTACTCGCCCATATAGAGCTTTCTGTGTCTTAGGATTTTCTTTATGTTACATTCCTGTGACCATAACTCACGCCAGAACATGCCGATTATTCTTTCAAAGACATTTTTATTAAAGATTAAAACTTGAAGCATGAGTGCGCGGACTGCTTGTGCGTAACAGCACGTTATGAGTGCGTTAGAGTGGGATGTGTCTGCTGTGAAGATTTGGCCCATTGTATCTCACATTTAAGACAAATCATGAAGAAGCATTTAGCCGTATGAATATTTATCAGATGATGTTTCACAGCCGAGGCTTCGTCTAGTTATCAAATCGGCTCTTTTTTTAAACAGCTCGCCACTCCTGGGTGCATTAAATTACGCCTTTAGGCCTGTATTACGCGCACCTATACGAGGCGTTCTTTCTGACTCCTGAATTAGATGTCATCATTAGGAAAATCAGCCAATTATTGCTTGAATTTTAACATTTTACGGCTCCAAATCACAAGATAGGAGCAGGGGCGATTTGAATACAGAAATCGGAGTAACCAAATCTTCGATCTGAATAATAAAAAGAGGAAGATTTGTTCTCGGACCTTTTCATAAAACAACAATCCGACCAAACTGAAGCTCAGCCTCCCCTGAATGTTTGGTTACATGGAGCCGAATGCGCAAAGAGAGGAGCAGATTGTTTTTTTCAGTGCCTCTCTCACGCTGTAGCATTTTTTTAATGGACTTCAACTTTGTTTTCTGCAGAATCTTTCAACATCTTCCTCTCTTTATTTCAACGTTATCGCGTTCACCATGCTCAGTTTAAAGTTAAATCTCAGATCGACATACGGACGCCGTTCAGCCCTTTGTTTACGCGTTTTACACGGTTGCCATGAGCGATTTTATCCAACTTTGCCAAACGATCTAACCCTCACTTCTACCCCTAGATCGCCCCGGGATGTCCGTTTAACTTTCATTTTAAAAAAGTTCTTTTTTTATTAGAAATTTGTACTTACTGTGATGCATTTTAAGCTGCATTCCTTTGTTCCTGGTCTGGGCGTGGTGGCTCAGGAGCGCGGCTGCAGAGAACAGAGTCTGCTGACGGCGTAATAGGAAACGCATAGCCGTGTTGTGCCGTAAAGTGGGAGCCTTGAGCGGGATCAACAAGAGGCCGTGGGGTCGGGTTAGTTTCGGGGAAAATACCGGGATTCACAGCGCGCAATGGTCGCCAGAAATGCACTTTTACGCAGCGTAAAGGTTAAAAGAAAACGGTGGATATGAGTGTTTATGCACAGTCCAAACAGCATTTAGTTCTTTATTTGAACAAAAGAATGACTCACAAAGTGTTTACACAGTGAAACTTACACTTCTCCGCTCATTGGGCTGCAGACAGACATTATAAAAACATATTTGGAACATAACATTCATGTTCTTGGGGGGGAATGGTGTTTTGATATTTGACATGTGAGGAGTGAAAACACAACGACTGTTAAAACTGAGAGAGGAGAAGGGGAGGGGGGGGAGGGGGGGGGGGTCACCAGAGTGGGGTGGAGTAGAGTCAAAGGAGTGTGTGCCATTATGCTCCTTAATGGAGGGGTTGTTCTGTAAACATGAGTGACGTGTTGTTCTCCTCGTGCAGATAAGCCCAGGGTGTATCAGGGCGTCCGCGTAAAGACCACAGTCAAAGAGCTGCTGCAGAGACACAGAGCCCGCGAGGCCAACAGCAAGAAAGTTAAAACGGTAACCACCCCCACCTCTCTCTCTCTCTCTCTCTCTCTCTCTCTCTTGTCACCCACGTTTGCCCCGTGTAAGAACAATGACACTGAGCAAAACAATAAACTGTAAATGACTACCTCTAATAACAGCCACCCCTGACACCATTAAACCATTAACGTTTGTGAAACTATACACACAACCACATGCACTCACTGTCACACATCCAACAGCAGCCAAAAACAGCCAAATGTTATGACAAAAATGTTGAAAAATGAAATAAAATCTAATAATCTCTCTCCTTTATTCTCCCCATTCTTTCTCTTCTCCTTCCTCTTCTCGATGAGCAGATATCCCAGGCTTGCTCGGAGCTCCGCGATCTCTGCGCGTCCACTTTTCCAAGTAAGTTTAATCGAGTCCAGAATCTGAAATTGAATAAATAATGAAAAAAAAGAGCTGATGAAAAATTATACCAGAGGCAGTGAGAATCTGCTCTGCAATGATCCATTAATCCAATAATAATCCCACTAAAAGTAAACTATACAGAACAAAAACAATAACAATAATAATAATAAAAAAAAGGTTTGCACGACGGCTTAATCAGTGGTCGTGTCTGGATTATAGTAGAAGAATCAAAGTGAAAATCATCAGCCTGCTCACAGGCTGCATGTCTGTCTGAGTCATGAACTGCTTAGTCAGCAAAGTCCACCAGGGTTGTAAATCTTGTCAACGATTGACATCCCCATTGCAAATGTGCAGGGTCCCCTCTTATAAACGAAGGCTACATTCAAATGTGTTGGCTGATGTTGTCATGACATCACTCTGAATTTATAGGCCCTATTTAAATGTCTTTCTGTGGTCTGCTCCAATGCAGAGACTGCTCTGCACCCTCCTTGATACGCTCTCTCCACATATTTATGCTGTTATTTTACATCTTTCGCCAAAGAGTTATTACGCATGGATTTATTCAAAATGCGTCTCTAAATTCTCAATGGATTTTTAATTTATTCTTAGCCATTCAAGTTGACATTTTTCCCAGCCCAGGAATACACACTTGTAATGCAAATTTTTCTTTTGATATGTTTTTAACATTGATGTTTTTAACTCTTATTTTCACCTTGCTCCCCTTCAGACCGCTATGTGGACCCTCCTCCTGCCGTTCCCCACGCAGCCAACTCGACCAGCTGTGGTGCACCAGCTCTCCAGCTGCGCACCGCCTCGTTCCCCATCCGTGACAGTTCGTGCAACATCCGGATGCAGGAGAGCGCCTTCGACGACATCCAGCAGCAGTTTGGGGACATGATGTTGCCCAGCAACGGCTACAGCGACAGCAGCACCGGCAGTGGTTGTGGCTACACCGCCTCCCTGCCTTCACGCCCCACTCTCCCGGTGCCCTGGAGCCACGGACTATCCTCAGATGCCGACTTCTACAGTCAAGAAATTGTAAGTTTCGCCCGCTAAGGCAGACAAAACTCCTCTGAGGAATATGTCGTTTTTGTATTTAATCTGAACGGTAATAAAGAGCAAACCTCCACTTTCAATGGATATATTTCCAATAAAATATGAAAGATGGTGATCAAAATCATGCCGAATGTAAGATGTGTTTATAAGTATTTTTAAAACATGTAAACTAGTCTAACAGCAATTAACAGTTTCTTTTACCACAGGGAAAGTTTTTTTTTACAACTTTGCAAGACAGGTTTGGTGTTGCTCATTCCCCTCAGCAGAGATAGTGTTTGGGCTTGTGGCAGGATTTAGCAACAATCAGCTACACGCCCAAACATGAGTTCAGAAATATCTGACTTTAATGACTTTTAACTTTAACAGAAGCAAAACTACCAGTCTGAAAATGTATTCAAGTGGAGTTAAAAGTACAATTTTTGAATTTTTCTTAAAGTAATGAGTACTTGACCTTTGGTGATGGTAGCGGAGGCAGCTGGTTTCGCAAAACTACTTTATCAAACTTATTGTTGTAATATAAACAATGGCAGTCCTACTGTAGACTATGAAGTGAGTTTGACTCTGCATGCCTTCAGGGTGAAGTTACTGAATATTTCTGCAGCGGTATTTTGTCAATATTGCACATTATAGGCAGTCCATGTCAATTTAAGCAGTGCCTTGCTGTGTACAAGCCAAAATTTAGGACTCAACTGCAACAAGCATAATTTTTGAAAAGTTTCTTGAAACACACTGATTGACCGCTGGATTTAAGTAAACTTGCCAGGAAAAATTTTGACTTTAAATATCTATAAATTATATTCTAATTTGGGATTTCCATGTTGATGCGGCTACAGTCAAGTCTGTAGACATATTTGGACTAGAAGAGAATGATACTCTGAGTAAATTATTTGCCATGTGCTGCCTGCCAGACATTCAGAGCAGCTTCATTTGTATGAGTGGTAGTGTCTGTTTTGGCTTGCTATAATAACCCATGGTCCAGCTGAAGCTTTAACATTCTCCTGTTCTCCTCTTCCTCCAGGCCTCCTGCTCTTCACCCGAGTTGCTGAAACTCTGCAACCCCATAGACCCTAACAGCTACTCTCCGCAGGACTCCTTCTCCTCCTCCCCGGACTCCTGCTACGACTCACCCACGAGGATGGAGTCCAGTTACCACAGCGGCTTCACTTCAGAGCACTACCACTTTCAGAACTGCAACCTTCAGGACTGTTACTGCCCGTCGCACTGCTGGCCCGGTCAGCAGGAGAGCTTCTGTGCCCCTGAATACGCACCTTACTACAACCCCACAGACTATCCTTACGCCTACCCTGTGGAGGAGAACTACTTTAAGAGGGATTATCAGATGAGCTCGGAGATGTGTTACAATGTTCTATGATGAGACCTGCAGCAGTGTTGTCTTTTGTCTTTGTACTGTACATATGAATCAGTAAGCTTGATAGTCCGCTTTGCATTTCAATGTGTGTGTGTGAATGCTCTGACTGATTTTGCTTTAGTGGGAAATGACTGCATGAAAAAAAAGGACGATATTTTTGTACTAACTTTTTTACCGCTCAGATTTATTTTCTTAAACAAAATGTCAGTGTTCTAAATAAATATGCTAAACATACAAACAGGCTTCAAATCCCCCTTTTTGTCGGTCACTTTTCTGTTAAGTCACAACTCTGGTCAAGTTCATCTGGTCCTTCAGGTCCGCTCTTAACTCCCTCAACAAGTTTTTATCCATCTTGTTGTTTAACACCAGTATTTCTTCATTTACTGTCCGTCTATCAGTGAAACCGAAACGTGTGGGAGGAGAGCAAAAATAAACAACCCTGGCTGATAACATGTCAGGGCTAAACTGTAATGTAATACTTTGCACCTAGGCGAAGGAATCCTCCTCAAGTGAAGGATTTGACAGGACCTGCAGGGAGGGAAGGGGGGTCACTGGTAGTTTAAAATACATAAGAAGAGTACGAGGCAAACATGTTTTTAATGAAACATTTTTGTGAAACTACACAGAGCTGCAAAAGCACAAAAGCTTGCATAGAAGAATTACAGATAAGAGACATTAAATATAAAAATATGTTTCTTAACTGCAGTCATGTAAAGACCGCATGTCTGTGACAGTGTCATCTGTCATGTTATGACTGGTAAACTCTTGAGTTAACTCTGTAAACAGTTGAAGCTGAACTTTATGAGTGACACTATAACCTCTGTTGTATAGAGATTAAGAGGTAAGTTATAATGTTTGTTTATGGTTCTATTATCTACACAATACTGTGTCAAACAGCAGAACACATACATTAAAAAGGCAAAGCTTGATGGCAAAATTAAAATGAAGACACTGCGGGTTAACTAGGTTAACTTGCATCAGGTGACTAACATGATCAAGAGAGAGGCCCAGTCTTTTGGAGGTATAGAAAGGAAAAGGTTCACCCTAGTGTGAGAGACTCTGTGGGCAAGTAGGCCAATAATTTTGTAATGTTCTTCCGTGTAAATTTGCAAAGAATTTGGGGATTTCACCATCCACATTGAGCAAGCTCATTATAAGATTCACATAACCATGTCTCGTTTCTGTGCAAAAGAGACAAGGCTGAAAGCAGTAACGGGTAGTAATGATTTTTAGGGCCCCAGGTGACAAAAAAGCATGCATGACTCTGTAGTGGAAGTCACTGCATGCACTTTGATTTACTTCCAAAAATCATTGTCAGTGAACACAGTTCACAATTGCATCCACAAAGACTAAAACTATAGCATGTCAAGGGGAAATCATTCACAGCTTAAATGGCAAGGTGGAAAACTGAATCGTGGCAAGTCACTGTTTGACATTCTTGTAGTAAATCATGGAGACCACTAGCCTGGCTGGGCCATCCAGTTGCGTGAATCACTTGCCGTTCCTTCCCACAATATTCCCTCTGTCTATCAAGGAAAGTAAGCCCACTTTTAGGGCTCCCAATTGGCCGAAGTCCAGACTGTTGTTGGAAGGAACGGCAAGTGATTCACGCAACAGGATGGCCCAGCCAGGCTAGGAGACCACATCCTTGGCTTAGAAGACAGAAAGGCCCATCTGGCTTGTTGTGGGTGCACAGTTTAAAAGTCTGTATCGTTGATGGTGTGAGGATGCATCGGTGTTACGGCAGCAGTAGCCAACACATCTGTAAGGGCAATATAGATGCTGAACTACATATAGACCATGTACCATGACAGCAGCATGGCTCTGTAGTAGAAGAGTGCAGGTATTAAACTGGTCTGTGTTTAAAATGAGCACATCTTTATTTTTCAATTTCAACATTTTTTTTCTACGATTTATCTGTTGTCTTTTCACTGTTTTCAAGGAAATGAGAGATTTTACTAATCTGCAAACCAACCCTTATTTATTTTTCTTTATCTCAATTTTTAGGACCATCAGTGTAGAAAAAACACTGAATAATGAAACAGAATATGATCCCCTACAGAAATAGAAAAAAAGATGTGCTTTTGTACCAGGCAGTATACATATTTATCTTTGCTCCAAATACACAACTATTAATCTACACAGCTATTAAATATGGGGTCAAATGGGGTTTATTCTTTTTTGGAGTTTGCCCCAAGAGGACAGTGGGGTAACTGCAGGCCTTTGCACTTTTGCAATGCTTTCATATGCCATTCTTCGAAGTGTAGAACATTTAATTTGCATTATAAAAAGCTCTGCTGGTGAAAAAAAGATTACAATAATTATAGCCTTTCAAATATTTACCTCCAAGCTAAAAGCGCGTGTTGCTGCAACACAAACTGCAGTCCACTGTGATAATCACTGCAATTTACTTCAAGTCATGACAGCAATAATAATATGGATACACCCCACACTAGGAAAGGCAGTGCACCGGGTCTCATGCCAGTTCGAAATCTTGACATATAAATGTAATACAGAGAGTTAAGTACACGTTTCTCCTTCTTCATCTGTGTCTTTGCATTGCTTCAGAGACCAGTTTCCACTGAGACCATGTCCATGTTTGACACAGTCTATGGTTTGATTTAATATGTTAAACCAAGGATTGACCAAATGAGTTACGTGTCAAATAATAAATATTTTTAAAATGAAAAGAAATAGGTTGCAATGTGTTCTGTGTGATATGAACGGGAAAATGAAAATAAATAATCTAAAATGGGAGTCCTTCAGGGTTCCGTTTTGGGTTCGCTTTTCTATCACCTCAAGTCAATGCTAGTCCAAACCAAGAGCCTAATCTTGCGCTTCACATTGGAAAAAAAAAACTTTTCCTTTAGGCTTGAGCTGTTTAAAACCCAACAAGTGAAACCTGAAGAGAAGCAGAGGTTATATTGAACACATTTTAACCTTGTAATGTATCAACTTCAAATTCTGGTAAAGTCCTACATGGAGAGCAGAGTTGCTCAAGAACACTTAAAACATTCAGTCATATCAGAGACAGCTTCTGGCAGCAAATACCTTAAGGCTCCATGATTGAGGTTACTGTGTTACATCTTCATCAACCAAGTCTCTTATGATGACACAGAGAAAATGAAATTACAGAGAGCCTGGAGAGCGAATCACATCAATTACATGTTGTAAAAAACTAAGTATGTTATATTGCAGTTTTTCACCTGCAGTAGTTCTTGGTGTTTTAATGCAAAGTAATCTCAGCGTACTTGAACCAAACACCAAAGCGGATCAAAGTCAGTGTCCTCCTGCTGCTGAGTCATTAGAGGGTTTTAGGGGGAGGATGGGGGACACTACAGACACCTCACTTTCCTACCTCTCTGTCTGCATCTGTTGTTGGAGAAAGTTTGCCTTGGAGGGGATTACCTTTGTCTTGCAAAACGAGCATTACAGACCACATCAGAGGCAGGTATTTAATTCATTTTCAATTTAACATGGTGTATTGGGATGTACAGTATGTAACAATGACCATGCTGCCTAAGCATTAAGTAAGAGAAGAAAAATACTGTGTCTAATAATATGTCTCATTTCACCTTTAAAAGAGCAGAAAAGGTTTTTTTTTTTTTTTTTTTTTTTTTAACTGGCACCTACTTTCACACACAAAACGTCCTACTTTTTACTTTTAAAAACCTGAGATAAAGTTTAATATCTGAACTCAAACTTTTGCATCGTGGACTTACTTGTGTCAACAAAATAGTCATTATTTTATGAAAATTCCCTTATCTTGGGAGGATTTACTCATATATGACTGATGTTTAAAAACATAATACTTTGACAATTTATGTATGTCTGAAAATCACAGTCATGTACTCTGGTAACTGTTGTCACCCTTGGGCTTAAATGGGTTTATTAAGGACTGTTAATAAAGTATTAAGCATGTGTGAGATGTTACCTCCCTCCTATGATTGAAGATTTAATGCAGGGCTCATTGTTATTTCAATTTCATAGGCAGTTTTATCTTGAATGAGGCTCCAGATGTTAATCACCTGTATAGGTGTGAAAACCTTAGCCTTATCTGACCTGGACCTCACTAAGTGTGGTCTCATATCTGACTTAAGCCTCAACAACAGCTCCTTTTAACACGTTCTTTTCCCCCGTTGAGCCTGACCACAGACTCAGCGTCACATCTGTAATCCCTGCGAGGCTCATGATAAGCAGCAGCAGCAGACAGAAACAAGGTTAGAGCTCTCAGAGGTTTAAGTGGAGGGACTTTGTGTGTGAGTGTGTATGTTGGGAGGGAGTTTGTTGTTGGCTAACGCCAGCAGAGTCTGTGGAGATAAAGGTGCGATCTACCCAAACCTGATCCGTCTGCTGCTCTTAACGTTGATCTCTAATCATAAACAAGCCTGAGTCCCCCCATTTAGCTGCAGGCTCAGTGCAGCAGCATTGAAGGAGTGGAGAGTGGGTGTGTGTGTGTCTGTGTCTGTGTGTGTGTTTACATACGCCATACCCTCAGGTGGCTGACCAGTCTCCAGTAGCCTCTGATGGTAAAACAGAATCACTGTCTCAGCCTGGCGTGGATTTGTACTTCATTTATCACAACGCCAATCGTCTGCAGCGGGGTTATCTCTCAGAGTTTGGGGTTTAATCCACAAAGGATTAGCAAATTACACCAATCTGATCAAACTAGCACAATGGGAGTCCCTGATTTTCTGCTGTTTACAGAAAAGTTCCTGTTTTAGAAACAAATCTGTGTTCCCTAAGGCTGAAACTCTTTAAAATCTTTTCTTTCTGTTAACCAGGTGAGGTGGTGAAGTATTAATAATAAATCACACTTTAACTCATCAATCTTTGGACTTTTTAGTCCAAACATGACTAATGCTCTGTGTTGGTCTTCTGTTTGGCTCATCCAAAAAGTTCATGCTGATCACAACCTATTGAAGTTAATCCCTCGGTTACTGATGAAAAACCCCTACAACATCCCACTCGTATAAGAGAAGCTTCATTTAAAAAACTTTTGCATGACAGTGTATAATGTTGAGAAGCAACAAAGGAAAAAATGATCTTCCTCTCATGGCACACATGATGAGGTCAAGATTCAGAAAGGTCACTGGCCAAATAAGAAAGGGCTCAGGCCAGGTTGTTGCTTTGGCTTGGCCAGCAACCTTGACTTCACATTTTCCCCACTCTCTACTCTCCTCAACTCTTCCATCTGATGCAGGATGAAAAGCCTGAAAAACATCTCCCAAAAGGAAAAGGTTCCAAGTTTGGTGTGCCGCAACATGTGCAGACTGGTTTATCAGTCCTCCTTGTATTCTCTGGCAGGAACCTGAGTGAACTACTCAGCACCTGAGTCAGAGAGGTTTCACAGGAAAATGAGGTTTGCAGTTACAGCACTCTAAAGGAAGCTGAGTCGACACAAAGCTGCAATTGAATTAAGATTGTCTGTGTGATAGGAATCTTATCAAATAAATCTGCAAAAATGTCACAGGTACAGTAACTGCAGGGGGATTAAAACATGGTCAGGTGGGGATTACTCTACTCTTAAAATGCTGCAAAAGAAGCTGTAATGTTTTTGTTTTCATGCAGTTTTACATGACAAAAATCTCTTTGCACAAGTTTGATTCAAAAATGAAAAAGACTGGACAGGATAAGCACACCACCTTTTTTTTAGAATTGTAAGAAACATCATTAAACATAATTTCGTCAGGTTTAAAGAGGGTTTCAGTTTTGTCATATGTGGTTTTGTGCTAGAGTTGTGCTCTGGCAGGCATCAGGACATGACACATCTTTGAGTTTGATAAAATTTAAACATTATAACAATTTGTTGTAAAGGCTCCATGACTTTACAGGCAGATGGCGCTAAATTACCTTATGATAATAAATAAACAGAGTGAAAATTTTTTATTTTTTTATTTTGGTATCATCACAGGGAGTCATTAGAGAGGGGCAGACTCTGAAGCTGAAGCAGGTTCCCAACCTCGTGCTTATAGCTCAGAGAGATGCACAGAGGCGGCTTCTATTATCAGGGTCAAGTTTTGATCTAAATTAATTCAGGTTTCATGACCACTCAAAACTGCACAGGTTTTACTGTGTAACCTGGCTGGAGGCTTTTGCTCATAATTCACCATCAGAAACATTAAAAAAACAGGTAAAACATTTTCCTGCTGCTGCCGTTTATCATTACAACTGCAAGTTGATTCAAGTTCTGAAAAGTGAAGCACAATCTGTTTCTCTACATGTTTGATTGTTAGGTCTGTGCAGCACTTGACCGCAGGTGAAAGAGCTCAGGCGTAGTAAAGATGGTGATAATAATTGACAGGCATTGTGGGTGTTTGAACCATGTTACAGCGACATGTGCCAAGCCTGACCCAAGCGAACCAGCAGAAACCTAGACAGCTAAGGAGGGTTTTTGTTTCCCTCCTTCCTGAAACTGGATGCAGCGTGTCAAGGTTGAACCGTTCAGGTTTTATGTGTGTGTAAAAAAATAAGTGTAATCCACAGATCCTGTTTGTAGATTCTTTCCTGCTCCTGCTCAACCAGCGCAGGTGGAAATCCCCTTCAGAGACAACCTGCAGTCCCTGATCAGAGTTAAGAAACGCCCACATTTGATGGTATCAATGTTTCTACATGCCGACAAAGACAACATCTTTTTTTTTCAACAGATTTTTTTCTTCTGACAATCTTTAAGGATCATTTGTCCGTAAAATTGTATTGTTGTTTTATTTGCATGGAAATTTCCAGAGAAAAGTTGTTTCCTCAGTTGTTAATCTGAGGGAGCAGTCTGAATATAGAGTTGTGTATGTGCTGAAACAGCTGCAAGAATCTTGAGACTTAAAAACAACAGAAAAGGTCACATTAAACACGTTCTGATGAATCAGTCTTGTTTGTACAGCTCCAATTCACAAGAAGCATAACACAAAAAGCCGATCTAGGTTAAGATTGAGCCTCAAAGGAGAGTAAAATTAATTCAATTAATTCAGCGCCACAAAGTCTCCTTTCACTGCTATGCAGACGACACACAGATATACCTTCCTTTGAGACCTGAGGACCCAAGAGGCCTAGCTGCTGTCATGGACTGTCTAAGTGACATTAACTGTTGGATGGCACAAAATTTCCTTCAGCTAAACTATTCAAAATCTGAAATAATTCTCTGTAACATACAAAACTCCCCCCTCATTCAGTCTTGTCTCGGTCCACATTCAGTAATCATCAAACCAACAGCCAGAAATCTGGGAGTAACCTTTGATTCAGACCTCACCTTCTCCACCCATATCAACATGATTGTCCAGTCCTGTTTCCTTCACCTGCGCTCCATTTCAAAGATTAAACAAATACTCACCCCACCAGATCTCGAAAAGATAATCCACGCCTTCATTTTCTCAAGACTGGACTATTGTAACTCTCTCCTCCCTGGTTTAAACAAGAAATCACTCTCTCGCCTCCAACTAGTTCAGAATGCAGCAGCTAGACTTTTAACTGGTTTTAGTCGACGGCATCACATCACCCCAATTTTAGCCTCCCTTCACTGGCTTCCTGTCAGCTTTAGAATTGATTTTAAGATTTTATTGATTACTTTTAAAGCGCTCAAAGGACTTACTCCGAGCTACATTTCAGAGCTTTTAATATCTTATAAACCAACTAGCAGCCTCAGATCCTCTGGCGAAGGCCTCCTGGTCGTTCCAAAGTCGAGGCTCAAGACTAAAGGTGACAGAGCTTTCTCCATCAGAGCTCCTCGACTTTGGAACGACCTGCCAGAGGAGATAAGGCGTGCAGAGACAGTCGCTTCTTTTAAGTCAATTTTAAAAACTCGCTTTTACAGACTTCTTTTTCTCCTTTTTCTTTTACCTCTTTCACCTATTTCTTATTTAGACTTACTGCCTTTTTAGCCTTTGTTTTACTTATAATCTTTTCATTGATTTTAATGTTTTCATTTTCCTTTATTTTATATATATATATAGAATTCCACTTTATCATTTATATTACCATCATTTTATTTTATTATGATTTTATTATTATTATTAATATCCTCTTTTATACTTACTAGCCTGTTCTCTTCCCTCCTTTTCTATTTCATTTTATGCTTTTATTTTGGTCCTCATGGTCCCATTTATTTTGTAGGGTTCTTGTATTGCCTGGGTTTCTTACGAAAAGTGAAACAGGCCAACAATTCAGAGGCCTGTTTTTAACTGAGCTTTTGTTTTTATGTGTTTTCATTTTCAATGTGCTGATGCTCTGTGCTTACAACTGTTGTCTAAGCACTTTGTAAACTTCTGTTTTTAAAGGTGCTATATAAATAAAATTATTATTATTATTATTATTATTATTATTATTATTATTATTATTATTATTATTATTATTATTATTATTATAAAAATTTACCTTAACAGGCAGAAACCTTGGGCAGCACCAGACTCATGTTAGACAGTCATCTGCTGAGACTGGGTTTAAAGAGGGGATAGAGGGAGATGCAGAAAGAGAGAGATGAGGTTGAAGCAGCGGGAAAGTAGGCAGGTCCATGGCGGCAAAGCATATTGATATATGGACACACTGGGTCCAGATCCAAGTGTACACTTGATACAAGACCGGCTTCTTTGAGGTTTTATGATCAGACGTGTTAAATAAAATCCTTTGTGTCTCAGCACAGTGTTGCAATGTTTCCTGTTAATATTTAAGCATATGAATCAATGCTATTCCTATAATTGCAGAGGAAAACAAGTTTCTTATCTGACAGTGACACCAAACTCTGGCGGCACGAATGAAATGTTATCAGGCTCGAAGAAAAGCTGAATAACAAGCAGGGTGTTGAATACAAGATTTCATAACGGCTGATAAGTGAGCCCCTCCTATCTGTTCATATCTGACCCTGTTTCTGTAGTGGGTAAATCAAAGGCTGTTCACACTCATACATGTCCTCTGTACAAAACCTTGACTCTCACTCATGCATGATAACACACAGACTTACAGTCATATACAGCTGTATAGAGAGAGTGACAGGAGAGTATTTACACACCAAACAGAGGCTAAGTGGAGGCTGAGTGCGCCTCGTGTCGGGCTGTACAGTTAATCAGCACATTGTTAGTCACAGTTTTCATATAAATAAAAGGCTGTTAAAGAAAAACAACATGGTACAGTCCACAGAAACGAGTTTGTTTTCTTTTCTAATTGCCTGAAAGCTCTTCCCAAGAATTACGCTGAGGAAGAAGTCACCTGTTTTACGGGACCTATATAGGATGACCTGTGATTATCTATGATTGACAGCTGCCGCAAAACAAACAAACATTTCTGTAGAAGTTGCTGTTGGTGATGAAGTAATAACCTTTACCACTCGATTACTCAGCTAAGCTTAGCAGTAAAAACAGACACTTACAAAGAGTTTATTTAGAGGATCTACTGGTATTACAATTCCGCAGAATGAAGCAACGTGGAAAAATTCTTACACACCGGTAGTGTTGAGCTTGATTTTTCTTTTCCTCTATTACCAGAAGCAAAATGTAGCCTTATATTTAGAACAAAAACCTCCTAATCTTGTGATTATCAAACAAAAATCATCAAGGCTCATTTGTGCTTATTGTCCAATTGTCATACAAAAAATGTCCAGAATCTCCCACCTTGATCATTTCCACTTTGCATTCTGACTGAATCTGTCAATCTGTAAATCAACAAGTGATTCTTTCAGTCTCCAACTAAAGGTTGGACCACCAGAACTCTGGGGGGGGTGTAGGCCTGTACTAGTGTGGCCAAGCCAGTCCAGCGAAATCCAACAGTGAAGATGTTTGCGGAAAATGTCAGAACTTTTGAGGAAAGATGGTCCGTTTACATCAAACATGGTTGAGGTTGACTTCGCTTTGAGGATTTGTTGTGTTTGCACAACTTACTAGATAATCAGACCTCTGCTCTCGTTTCCCTCCAGGCCATTTTCTCTCTATCCCTGTTTCAACAGAAAAAGTAGCTGCACACTGCCGAGTCAGTTTGTTCTCCATTTTCCAGATGGATGAACCTCCACCGGTTTATTGTTGACATATGCCACATGGGAATCTCCACGCTGATCGGCAATTTTGGTGCGAGAGTTGAGATATTTGTTTTAAACTCTTGTAAATGAGCAAATTTGCGTCTCTCGCACATACAACTTCCTCGATTTACTTCATTGACACTGCCTTATTAACATCATTAATATCACCCGACAAGAACTTGCATGTTACCTCATCTTTACATTGACCCTACGGTCGAAGCTTAACCCTGACAGGCAACTTCACATCTGTTTTCAAAGTCACAGGAAAACTCCCAGAGTCTTAATAAAAAAGTGAGAGTTTTGCCAACATTGAGCTCACCCTGTGATCTTGGCTGTTTGGTATTTTGGCGGTCTTCAAACTCAAACCGTACTGTTTGCGTATGGGGCAATCTTTTTCTGGTCTTGACGTTATGATAGAATCAAACATATTAAAGATCATAGATCTTAAGTCCAATTTTCTGCAAGCTAGTCCAATGACAAAAATTGTCAACCACCCTTCAGTGCTCTCACCAGTAACAAGCAAATTAGATCGGGGGGCTGGGGGTGGTTCACCAGCTGGTTCAGGTATGATGCTTGACAACAGCCACACAGATCTAAGTGTTTACCTGAGAGGCATTTCATTTTTTATGTACAGCAGATGGCAGGTATCATAGTTACTGGGAGAGGATCATTATCTTCTTTATTAAACCACAACATTCTCAACCTTAACCCTCTCCCAGCCTAATTTCTCACAGGAGATCACTGTTGAGATACAGAGTGGGAAAAAGAGCGATATCACCCAGGCCTCTTCAGACCACCCCCTCTTTTGTTGTAGTCTGTTGTCTGACTTGATCTGTGGCATCTTGATGTATATGAACTTTTATATTCAGTGCATTCAGCGGGAGGAACAAGTCCCAGCATGCACTGCACCAGCTTCAATACTTAGTCTACTTTATGTTTATGTTTACTTAATGTTGTCCCTTCTGCAAAATTATGTTTCCTCAACAGATGGAAACTGAGATAAATACATAAATGTAAAGAAATATATAATAAAAGCAGGTGATTAGGGTGTGCAGAACTTTCTATTCCACCCTGCAGTACCTCTTGTCCACTACTCCATCAACAGGACCCTCCACAATGCAAGGATCCACCTGTTGCTGAACTAGTAAAATGTGATAAGACATGCGCTAACAGCAGGGGTGTGTGTGGACTTTTTTGAACAGGGGGGCAAACGAGGGTGCTGACAGAGAATTCGCAGAGCCTACATTCCAACCAATTGCATTTATCATGACATCTATGTGTTATATCCATCTGTTTGGTGATTGCTCACACAAGTAGCCAAATATACTAAAAATGTCATATTTTTCAGGATTTTAGGGGTCTTTTGTAATTAAATCATGTTTAAAAAAATGTAAAATTCAACTGAACTGTAAAAGAAAAAAGAAAAGAAAAAAAAAACATTAAGCTTATTAAAACAACTTCAAACAAAACCCCCAAACTACATAAAAACAGAAATTAAGAGCAATTTCAGAGCTGTAATAGTAATCTTGATGTTTTCTGTGCAGTGCTGTTTGGGCTTATGTTCAAAACTTTGCTTTTTTTCTTTATCGCACATAAAAAGTGATCTTTTAAGCAACAAGAGCTGAGATTTGCATGCCACCTTTTCATAACAAAGAAGTAATGCAGATATGTGTTGTTGTTTTTAACCTTTTATAAAAGAGTGGATTACAAACTCTTGAACTAAGATGCAGGTTTGTGATAGCAACATTCCTTTGCAGCAGTCATATGAATATAAACAGGGCTCTAATTGGCACTAATTGTGAGATGTGTATTGCAGCCTGTTTGGGGTGCCAGGTTTCAGACACCTTTCCTGATATGTGTTGGTTATTCCTTCATGTATCACACCCATGCCTGCTATCAAAGGCTCTGCCTGGGCATGTCCTTGCAACACCCATTGGCACCAAGAAGGAGCAATTTAAGGGGACTTTCTCTAATCGTCTGCAATGCAGCTATCACCCTGAGACTGCCCGAGAAACACTATAAACTGTTAAACCAATCCACTGAAAGAGAAGAGAGAGGTGCTGTAGGCAGTTTAGAGAACAGTATCACACGTGACTTTAGCTTTCAGTGCTGTTTATCTTTCTGCAACACCCCCAGGATATGTAAGCTGTGTCAGAAAGATGGCGGAGCCCCAACTGCCTTTGATCCACAGAGGAGCCTCACTTGAGTTTCGATGAAGCGATAAATAAGAACTTTTAGAAGAACACGTTAGCAAAATGAGTCATCAGATGAATCATCTGTCAAGAATCAGAGAAAGTTAGGAGATGCAGCTGCAATGATCAAATGTGCCTACACTGAGGTTTGGTTCAAGATATTTCAGTAACTGCCATGATGATGACCAAGAGTTTTATGATGTTAGGGAGGCTCCTTTAAAGGGAACAGCTCTACATTTAAAAGCAGGAAAGGTAACATGGAGGAGATATCATCTTTTACTTGAAGAAGTTTGTTGATATTGCTTTGTTGAAAAAACTGTCAGATTAATGAGATTGTATAATTGCATAATGAAGAAAATCATTACAATAAACAGTATTTCAGATATTTGTGTATCAAATGTAAGGAACTTCAGCTTTATTTTGGGGTACTTGTCTATAAATCAGACCCCTCCTTACAAAACATAGAGTCCAGACGAGAGAGCTGCGAGAAACATGTCACTCTGAGGACAAAGTGGCCTTCAAAATGGCAAATGGCAACTTTACTACCATGTAAAAGACACACTTTTGACCTCCACAGCCTAATTTATGCTTCTGTGTCTGACCTATGCCTCAGGGGTCTGTGAACCCTGTACCCTACGAAGAAACCTGTGTGTGTGGCCAGAGCGTGCCTACTCAAAAATCTGACTAGGCCCTGCAATGGTCTGCTCAGAGGCAGGACTCCCTTATTTTCCACAACCCTAAAAACATCAGAAGATGGTCGTTAGTGCCCACTTAGCTCCCAACTAGCATTCATTAGCATTTGTTTTATTACCTGCTGTAATGATGTTACTCACAGTTGGTGTTTCTAACACCTTCATGGTAGGTCATAATGGAGAGAACAGCTGTAGGATTCAGTAACTATTGAGTTACAAATCCAGCACGTACTGGCCCTTGTTCATGGGCCCAACTACTCTGTTGTCTCAAGTACATGAAAACTTCCGGCTGTTTTCTGGTACATTTGTCTCTGGCAAAAGAAAATCAATCAATCTTTGTTTATATTGTGCCAAGACACTTAACAAAATAGCTCATCTCTGTACAGAGACCCAGTGTAAAGATGGGATCAGATTGAGCCCCATCTTGTAAGATCAGACCCACTCCTTTCCCATCTTCAACCACATGAGTTTGCAGCATGTAGCACATTACAGTAGAGAAGAAAAACTTCCTTTAACAGGCAGAAATCTTGGGGAGGACCAGACTCATGTTAGACAGTCATCCGCTGCAGTTTGTAAGATTTGGTAGGGAAATTGAAAATTTAAAAAAGTAATTAACTGTGAATATCTGAACGACCAAGCTTTAATTAAACCACAGAGATGCTACTGTAAGATGATTTGGATATCTGGTGTTTTCAAACATCATTTACTACTCTCCAACACTCATGATAGTGAAGCATGTTGTCTAATCATCTAAAAAAATCATCCTAATGAAGTGGAAATCCAGAAACACCAAAACCTTAACTCAATGGAAAAATCTGCTCATTGATTACACTTCCCTAGAATCTACTTTACCCCTTCTCAATAACACAATTCTTCTGGTCCCCTTTCAGCGATTTCCTTACATCTTAGTTTCCATCAAACCAATTATTTTTTTCGTCTGAGATCAATCAATCAATCAATCAATCAATCAATCAATCAATCATTCTGTATGTAACATACATTCCACCTACATTATTATTATTTATTTACTCATTTTTTTATATATTTATTTTTCATGTGATCGAGATTTATTTATTTATTTTTCTCCCCCTCTTTTACTGTTTAAATTATTTATTGTATTACTTCTGTGTTTTTGTTTGTTGGTTTTTGAGGTTTTTTTTGTCATTTTTTGTTTGTACCTATTCATTCATTCCCTTTTTCTTTTTTTTTTTACCATTTTTAATATTTATTATGCCTCAAATATTTAGCATGTTCAATATTATCATTATTATTGTGGTTATCTATGTTTTTTTGTTTTTCTTCCCCCTTTTACTCACTTCTTTTTTATTGTTATAGCCTTCCCTTTCTTTACCATTCTGTAATCATTCTGTTATCGCACACACACACACACGCCTGTGTCGCTCATATCTGTTTGTCCTTGTCATTGAACTGTCATTGCTAAATCCCATTGTCTTGTAGTGTTATGTCCATTTTCACTGCAGTGTGTTATTGCACATTAAAAAAAAACATGTCTGAATGACTAAGTATCTTGAGTGACAGCCACACTTATATCTCCTGACACTCCTTGTTATTATTCTGCACTTTTTAGGCCCTTTTTTGCAGCTCAGAGATAGATTCACACACTTTGTTTTGCTATCACAGCCTTAGATTCTGCATGAAAAAAAGAAAAAACAGAGGCAGAGCCAACTCCTCTCTGCATGTTCTCCTCACATGAGCAGGCACAGCACATTTTCTCCCCTCCTCTGATACGATCTCAGGTGCTCCCAGGTGTGGAAATTTGACAGACGAGTTGAAGCCCCTCTCATAATGTCAGTTTAAGCCTCGGGGAAAACCCCTGAGACGCAGTGGGCCCTCACGGCCAAGAGGAAGCACGGAAGCTTGGCCAAAGTCTCTCTCACACACCCCGCAGTGTCAGAGGACCCTGTGACAACTAAACAACCCAAATATCTTACATTCCAGATGTTTTACTCTGTGTGTCTGTTCTGCATCAACAATCATGATGTTAACAGAGTTACAACAAAGAAATAACCATGAGAAAAAAGAAACATGCAACATGATAAAGGACACATGAGCTGTTTACCACATACTGTAAACTGGGCTGAATAAGCACTTGAGGATGGAGTGAGGAGAAGTCAGTGGTCAAGAGTCTTTTGGTCACTTGAACCTCACATATTTACCATTTTAATTACCATCACTTATGAACTCATTTTCATACAACATACAGTATCGTGTGGTATGTTGTGGTGCTGTGTTACCATCTTTGTTTTTTGGCGTTTTTGTTTGAGAAAATGAAACTAGAGTTACAAAAGTTACGGAGACTGCACAGAGTGTTTATGAGCTGATTTATTGACTTACTAAAGTGGTTTAACAACAATGTTTTTCTTTTAATGAGACTCTATTTATGGTTGAGGAGAGAAAAGCACTTAAACTGTTGAAGCTGGAGGAACAACATATGCAACTCCAGCTTCACAAGAGTTAAGTCAATGCAGCTAATAACCAATTCATCCTTATTTGATTGAAAAACAAACCATCAAATGTTGAAAACAAAATGTGTCATCATTTAATGAAACATACTTTATATGCTAACTTTATATTTGATGTCAACACCTTTTCTGAAAATTGAAACCGTAATAACAAGACAGAAAACATAAAAAAAGTTCTGTACTGCTGAAAAAATTCCTGGAGGAGTGAATTAGCTGATGAGTTAAATTTGCAACAAATTAGTAATGTGACTGAGTCAAAAACTAGAGGGTTTTCTGAAGGGGTTGAGTCATTCAGGAAGAAAGATGGGAAGAGGTTCAACGCTTTGTGAGAGATCCAGAGAGTCTGGAGAAATCTCTGAGTGAAGCGGACAACACCAGTGATCTTCAAGTCCTCAGACAGCACTGCTTGAAAATAGTTTGCAACTTTTTTGGCTCACATGAAAAATTAATGAGCATATTTTCTGGCTGTCTGCTCATCCATCCACCAGGACTCAAGCTTGAACTGATAAGGCAGTGGTCAAAGGTCAGATGTCAGTGTGGCTTTCCAAAATATGCTGTTGGCCACAGTTCAAGAATCCAGACAGTTAGGACCAGCTTTGCATAACTGGAAAACAGGATGAAATTATAAAACCAATTAAATGCACATCAGCTTTGGGCTGAAAGAGCTGAAACTCTGGGCCATTACTGAATCAGTTGGGCAAGAGAAAAAAGTAATATGCATATTTTACAACAAGTGGATGGTACTTGGACTTAAATGATACTTTTTTTGACCTCTTCTCTGTATCACAGTAACCTCCCCCTTATCTTTACCTAGAATTAATTTGTCCTCTGCTCTGTGTGGTAACATATCAAGTTGTGGGAGCATGATTTATTCATGGGTCTTTTTTTTTTACAGTTCGCCTTAGGTTGGGAGTTATACGTTTACGAGTTTAACGGTATGAAAACAGACCTAATTTGAACAGTTGGAGCCATTCTTATTCTTATCAGGGGTTTGATGAGGGTGATGAGGAAAAAAATGTGTGTATATCCTGACTGAGGGCAAGCAAAGTAATCAAAAACTATAGACAGACTCATCTTCATCTGTCTGGTTCCTATTGTGGACCAGGGTCCTGCTGCTGAGCTGTTGCCTCTTTAATCAGTCTCTGAGTAGACTCTGCTCTTCCTCTCACACTTCCTCCAGTTTCCCCTTGACTAGAAAACACATTTTGACTTAACCAGTTTACATAATTTCAATGGTCAAATATGCAGGCTTATTTCACATTACTTTCATCCTATTCCCTTTCAATTATGGGCTTTGTGTATTTACTACTTTACTTTTAATGATAAAAAAATATCCACCTTATTAAAGATAGATTTAGATTTGGGCAAAACTGTTTTGTAGTCTGACAAAGCAAACTCTGATGGTCTCTTTGGAAGTCATAGACCCTGCACCCAGTTCAAAAACTTGGAACCTTTGTGGTGCATAGATTGCAAAAGTGCCCACGGCATGGGTAGATCATATCCAGGAAAGCTATTTTTACAGGTTTTTGAGAAATATATGCAGCCATTTAGACAAGGCTTTTCTCAAGGAAGACTGCACCAAGATAAAGCAAAATACTCTGAACAGCTGAGTGGCTGAAATACCAAATGAAGAAAGTACAGGACGATTCACTGTCAAAATTCCTTAAAACGGATCCACTGGGTTACAACATTTAAACATTTATTTTGGTATTGATTTATGTGTCATATTCATTATGCTTAGGAAATATTGGTCTGACTTTTAAGTCAATAAAGCAAATTTGAATTGAACATTTGCAGAGTGGTGTTAAAAGAAGAGATGATGCAACACAATGTTAAACATGCCTCTGTACCAGCTATCATGAAATGTCAAATGAGAGTATATATTTTACATCAACATTAGATTTTTTGCATTGCACCCCACTTGATGATAGTCCACCAACACACTCCATGCACCGTTATCTTCTTCCATTATTACTGCCTCAGTATCTGTGACGGCACAGGCAGGCACCAACTCAGACAGACCTGCTGCTTTAGCTGCAGTTAACCTGTCATGAGCATCAGCTATCTATTCCTCTGCCCTCTCACAATTCACCAGCCAGTAAAAGCAATAAAAGGAAAACAAAAAGGCAGCATATGCAGGATGATTCATTTTGACAAGCAGCATAAAAGTCAAATGTGAAAACTCCAGATAAGAGAATGTACATATATTTTTAAAGTGTTGAAAGTCAGGCCTCCATTAGAGTAACATAAACCGTAATGGCTTCAATATAAGATTTAAAGACCACATCAACAAAAAGGTTTATCTTTTTGGTCTTAAACAGACTTAAGTTGTCAAAAAAAGGACAAATGTGGAGAAAGATCTCGTCGTCAAAGCTCCGGGTGGGAATTTTTTTGTTTGCATCAATTTGGCTGCTCTCTGTGGACAAAGCTGGACCTCCTATCTCTTTGCTGATCTTGTCTTGTACATGTGTACATAGTGTTTTCTAGATGAAAAACTGATCCCGCTGCCTTTAACAGTCAAACCTATCACTCACTGTAAATCTTAGCTGTGGATTATATAAACAAAGGTTGTTTGAGGAACAGGCTCTGACACATTGAGACACCAAACGTTGTTCTCGTGTAACAAAAGTGAGTAAAGAAAGCATCTATTATATGTTTGTATTTATTAATTAATTGTGTTATGAACTTATATTTTGACTTCATTTGATACAGTGCACATTAATGAACATGGAACATGGTCTTGTTTGCTGTTGTAATCCATAGAGAGACATCAGGATTATATTTTAATCTGTTTGATAATCAAATAGAATCTTCTCACAGGAGCTTTTAAGGTATAGTTCAGAATTTTTGAAGTAGGTTTGTATGAGTTACATGTCACCACTTTGTTTACCAGCCACAATGGATGCAGGTCAGCTCTGCCACACTAAGAGAATCTGCCTGAAGGGCAGGCTTGCAAGCTAAGCTACAGCGCTCTGCAGAAAGGGTCAAAACTGCCTCATACTTAGGCTCATTTTTGAAGGTCGAAACCAATCACTCAACTGGCTGAGGCTAATGATGTTTTCCAGTTGTACTCAGAAATCGGAATTTCTGAGCCCCGAGTCAGAAATTCATCTGGAACACCCCCCTAAATTCAGAAAGTCGGACAATCCTCACCAATCCTGACTTGACAACAACCTCATCATCCAAGATGGCAGTGCAGTGCATCAACAGTAAAGAGTAACAGTGAAAGCTCTCGTAATGTTTTATTTATAAGCGCTTCTGTTTTGTTTTTGTGATATTAAATAAGTAGCATATGTAGTACTGCCCAACATCTAATGTGAACTAGGTGCTATGGTGTTTGTAAGAGTAAAATACTGTGTTATGCATTGTTTACAACTGGTATAGTTACAACAACTAACAACTGCTGACAACAACTAACAACAACTGACAACTGTTAAAAATAGGTAACAGTAGGCATCCATCTTGGTTTTCTGACTTGTTTACTGGAACGCCATCAACTTAGGTGTGATGTCATACCCAGCTTTGACATCTGACTTCTACATACAACTAGAATGCAGCATAAGCTCAGACTCAAGGTATCCCCTGTAATAATAGCATCATGTGGCTAGTTGTTGACTTAAAAACATTATTCTGTTAATAAAAACAACAGGACAACTTCATTTCCAAATAATAAAGGGTGGACCTTAAATTCTGTCATGTTTCTCCCTATATTTAGATTAAAAAGACAATGAAACTCTTTAAAAATATCTTTTTTTTGACCAGAAACAGCTGTAACTCCTCCTCCTCCAACTGTAATAGAACTGGACTCACACCACCACTTTTTTCTGGTACTTAAATTGTGTATATTGTATATAGTTTTATTTTATTTTATCTTATTTTATTTTATTTTATTCCCCCCTTTTTCTAAATTTTTTCTTAATTATAACATTTATTTAGTTTATTAATATTATGATCTTTATTTTTATAACTGCATTTTGCACTACCTTTGTCTATGATGCTGCTGTGCCAAAAAAATTTCCCCCATGGGAGATCAATAAAGGAATATTCCATTCTATTCTATTCCAAACTTCAAAAGTTTCTGGACTACCATGACCTGAAACGATTTGCTTCTTGAAGGTATTAAATAATGCTAGAATCAAGTTTATTTTTTATAAAACCAACATTAAAATATGTAGCTGTTCAATTAAGGCAGTAGCTGATCAGCAGCTCCTGTATCCTAAGCTGTAAAATTACTGTTTTTATCAATAGGGTGTGGCAGCTTTAGAGGGACTGATGTTACAGCAGGTTCTATCTAAAAGGAGAATTTTGAACGGATAGGGTCAAATGCTGAAAAATTAAAGAAGCCAGCATTAGGAGAAAAGAAGAGTTGAAGCAAATACATTATGACGTGTTTAGTGGCTGCAGTCATTCCAAAGCACAGACAGAAATTTAAATTGAACCAAAATCTGGAAAAGGCTAAGATTTGAAGATACCAAATTTCTTTCTTTCTTTCTTTCTTTCTTTCTTTCTTTCTTTCTTTCTTTCTTTCTTTCTTTCTTTCTTTTAAAGAGGGTTTGTAAATAGCAAACAGGTGAATGTCCTTTTGATGTAATACTTATATCCACCACAAGAGGCAGCAATACCCTCAACAGTATTCAGCATGTTTATATGCCTGTGTAACAGCCACACCTGTTGAGTTTTATTTTATTCTTTTATGCAGAACTGGCTAAATACTTAATGCATTACAAGTGCTTTTTGAGCATTTTTTTCACATTTTTGCATCATTCGATAAAGCCTAAGACAGAGTAACCGATGCAAAGTTTTTGTAATTACTCTGGGTACAATGCTGCAGATGTCAAATATGGGCTATGGCTACAAAACAGAGCTAAAGGTGACAAATGACTGAAATTGAAAACAACACACAAAGAAAAAACACTGCTGTCATATTTTTAGATATTTGCTGCAAAAATTGAGCTACTGTAAGAGTTTTTGTCCTCCTCCTCTCCATCATCCTTTTGCTCCTCCAGGAGTTTATCCAGGAGACTCGGGTGCTCTGACTCCTCATCTTTATCTTCATCCAGGGACTGACCATGGGACTCAGGGTCCAGGGGCTCTGAGTGCTGCTGAGGTTCTGCACCCTGCGGGATCATGGTGGTCAGAGACATGGACATGGGCATGTGGACCAGAGGAGACCCGGGGAGGGCTGTAGGGCCGGGTGCAAACTGGACCCCTGCGTTGGGCATGGTAGAGATCGTGGTGAGAGGTGGGGCCCAAGGCAGGTAGGTCACCCCAGAGTCTGGGAGTTCCATCTGGGGGAGAGAGGCTGCTGAGGCCACAGGAATGGTCTGAAAGAGGGACAGAGAAGACCTTAACCTTCATGCTGACTTAAAGGGATATTCCGGCGTAAAATTAATGTAGGATCAAACACACCGCAACACCGAGTTAGACACCCCCTTGAGGGATGAATGTTTCTTCATGGAAATGCAATCAGACTGAGACGCTAAGGCAGTGCAAAATGATTAATATGATAATTATTACTTCAAGGAAATGATAAAGAAATTATCATAAATGTTCTTCCTTGAGCTGCGTCACCCCGCAGCAGTCCGCAATGGACAGGCCCGAGGTCTTGCTACAAACAAGCAACCTAAGAAATTAGGCAAAGTTAAAAAGATGTTTGGTGGATAGTACTGTGGCTGGGACCCTATATGTACTGTTGATGAAGTTAGGTGCTGTTCTGTGCATTATTTGTGTCTATAGAGTGGTGTTTTGGTTGAGGTTTGTGTGTGGCTCCTAAGACCGCTGTGTATTGCTATCGTCCGGTCGTTACAAAAGTTTGTATCACTAGAGAAGCAAGCAGCCGACAATATTTACCTCTCAAGGGGGTGTCTAACTCGGTGTTACAGTGTGTTGGACCCTAAATTAATTTTACGCTGGAATATCGTAACTTACGGTAACAGTGATTTCAGTTATTATGATACCCCTTACATATCCTACAGGACATCAGGAGCTGCAAGTTTTCAGCCTTGTCCCATATAAGCAGATAAGATAGCTGCATGTCGTGCCCTTTCATACTGAAATCTTTGCTAACACTCTGTGTTTTCTCCTACTCACCCCAAAGTTAGTGAGCAGTGGAGCGTGTGTGTAGGTCAGCATGGTGTAGCTGGGACACAGAGTCTGCATGTACACATCAGCACCGAGGGTGGGGGTGGCGGTGTAGGCCAGAGTCTGAGCTGCTGCTGCTGCTGAACAGTCCTGCTGGTTAAAGTCAGAGGAAGACCATGGAGTCAAAGCTGTCTGCAGGCCAGCCCCACTGCTGCTGCTGCTGCTAGCCGGAGGTGCAGCTTTCCATCCCACACACTGCAGCCCTGCATTGCTGACTGCAGGGGACGACTCGACAGCATCAGAGCTGAAGGTGCCTTGATTTTAAAAACAGGCAGAGGCACATACTCAAGTTACAGGAACAAGTTTGTGAAGCATTTGTGGAAACACCTGGAATCAGGAATGAACATGTACCTCGTGCGTACAGTGAAGCGTTGTTTTGAGTGACCACATCCTACAACAAAACACATTAGAGAACAATTAAAACAGTATGTTCAGCATGTCTGCAATTTGCACTAGAAACCATAGTCGCATGCTTGGGTTCATTTGGTGTTGATACATAAACAAAAAGTATTTACAATTAAACAGATCCAGTACAGGTGTGAGCAGCAGCTGAATCATTATAATTCAAGGCCGTGTTTGTGGGCTATGAGTTTGGGATACTAACAGGAATTTCTGGATGTCTATACAGATGTTGAAAATCTAGTCTGACCATGTCAGCAAGAAACAGAATACAAATATATGTGTGTGTTTATAGAAGTAGGAATATATACACACACACACACATATGACTCTCCTCACTCATCTCTTCTCTGCCTCCTGTGTCGCCCCTCTGTATGCTGAGTTTACACACTCTTATGACAACCTCATGCCTCTAATCTCTTCTGAAAACTTTCTATGTGCAGAAAGGAGGTAATGTATTTGCCCTGTGCAGTCTCTATATAGGTGAGTGTGTTTAGAGCAGCTGTAAAGTACCGGATCTGTCATGAGAGAGCAGAGGGAGGAATGACAGGGTAAGCAGCACTGCAGACAGCAATGACAGCTCGTGTCAGTGTTTAGGGGCCTTTCCACTCCAGCAGCAGTCAGAGATGGAGTCCACAGGATAGACAGAGGGGGTTGATGAGAAACCGACATGAGGAGTATGAAAATCTGAGAGCCACCACCACCACCACCAATGTAATCTAATTATTTGGGAAATAAAACGGTGATCTAGTTGACAAGTCAGCTTAAAAATCAGAACAGTCTCTTAACTTTTGTCCAGATATTTGGAGCATTAAAAATAAGTCCTGCTTCTCCATTTCCTGTAAGGAGATGTATGCAGGTCCTGCTGAGACACGAGGCTTTTGATTCTGCTAATTTTCTTTAAGTGACAGTAGGCTGACTTTGTGACTGTTTTTCTTTTTTTTTTTTAATTCAGGGCCATGAATTCACCCAGATTTATGGCTTGGTCCTCCATTTTCAACAATAACTTCTGAAACTGCTGACTGTCCTTAGGTCTGTCCTGTTTGGCCCAGTTTTATCTTAGGTTAGCTAAAGAAAATTTGGGATGACCACTCATGGACTCGTCCAAGGCACTTACTCAGGGCCTATGTGGTCACAGTCACCTTGTATTGCATTGTACTGTAGATGCATCTTCTGTAGAGTTGTGGTAACATTTTTTTTTTCATAATATGAGCCAGTGAAAGCATGTAGATGTTAAAGACCCACTGCAATGAAAATCATGTTTTTTCTTGTCGTCTACATGTTAATATGGCATTTTTCTGATACTAGAGGACATATCATGAGAAAAAGAAGAACGAAATTGCATTTCTGAGTATTTTTGCATTCAAATCGCTGTGAATCTCTGGCAGACCCAAATGACAGGATCAGACACAGTGAGATTTCCTACATAACACAATCCAAGCTCTGCCCCCGGAGCCCCACTATGCAGGCCAGCCTCGGAGAAATGGAGGACGATCGTTGAAAAAGCGTCAGCAGATTGAAATGCTCGTGAGAAAGCTAATTATGATATTAGCTTTCATCACACCCCTAAAGACAATAGTGTCCGAGAGCTGAATAGCTCCTATGCTACCTCTTTCTTCTACTACACCAGCAATGTTATGCTGCAGACTAACTCGGGGAGAAGTGTGCAGACCAGCGTTGTCTCTGCCCAAGACTCAGAGGTGAATCACTAATGAGCTACTTGAGCTCTGCAGAGGAAAAGTCCATGAAAAACGACACAGGTGACATGATTTTGGCTAAAAACTTCATAATCACAGTTTAAAGACCACTGAAAACTTTAAGCAGTAAAAAAAAAAAATCGGAGTGGGACTTTAAACAGAAGAGGACCCAGAATGGAGCCTTGGGGAACCTCACAAGTAATTTTTGTCTGCTTGGATGTGCAGTTACCAACAGACACATGCTTTAAGATGTAAACCCAGTGAGTACTGTGCCGGTGCTTAATAAGTCCCAGCTCTCCAGAAAGATATTGAGCTTTTGAAAAAAAAAAAGTTCAATAATTTTGAAAAAAATTGGAGATTCGACTTGCTTGTCTGAATGTGGCCACGTTTGGCTCCAAAAACTAAAAAAAAGATACAGCCCTGACATGTAAGATCAGAGTTAAAGCAAGCTGTCATGTCTTCAAAGATAGATTATGACACTCCTCTGATTTCCCTTTAACTCGAGCGCTCAGAGACATATACTAACACCACCTGTGCATCTGCATGAGAGCAAAGAAACTATTACTGTAACGCGTTGTGTCCTCAGTCTGACCCGATCCATCAGAGCTCAACACAACTGTCTTGAACTTGCATGAGCATGTCATCATATATTTTATTCATAGGGAGGAGTTAATGCAATGAAATGAATTGAAAATAATTCAGATGCCCCTATATGATCTGCGGAGCAAATAAGACCAATAGAAAAAAACATGAATTCTGAAGAGTAATGAAACTACAGCCCCCAGGAATCAAAACAGCATACGGCTGAACCCGCTTTTGTTTGCTTTGTCACGGTAAAGACTCGAGAGAGTGAAAAGTTTGACAGCTAAAAGAAAGCATGGTGATGTGTTTTGTCAGAAAACACTTCGCACATATGTAGAAGACAAGATCTCCACAGAGATAAAAGCTTTTTCTATCGAGGCTCCAAGCTCAACACTATTTCAGTTTTTATAAGACTGAAATATTTGCTGACATTTAGTAAAACACTTGCTGTCTGTATCTTTAACGAGGGCAGTCTATGAGGTCTACACTGTTGCATCTTACGTAGAAATCCTGTTTATACTATCAGCTCTATAAAATGAAGGGTACAAGGAAGCAACTCACTTTAAAAGGCTACTCGCTTGCTCTACAGTGATAAATAAATCAGAGACCATCTGACCTGATCCTCGAAGAGCAAAGGCGCAGCGCCTCACTTCCTCTCATATAAAAATCTTGGGCTTTTGGATCTGTGGTATATATGGTGTTTATTTCTTTTCTCATGATTATCAGGACAAATATAAACCCAGTAAAAAAGCTGAATGGGATAGTTCTTGTTATTTCACATTTTCAACATACACGGTATCTCTGAAATTTTTCATAAGGAGTGTTTTAAAAATAGTGGGAAAAGCCAGAGCATAGTGCCTGTAACTTCCAAATATCCAGCAGCAGCAACACCACTAGCTGCAAAAAAGGTGTCCGAATGTGTGAGAACAGACTCAAAAATGGATGAATTACTTTAGAAAATGTGTGTCTAATAAGTTTATGGTCTCTAGAATCTTGTACAATTGGGTCCCTGACAGGTACAGCTGGTTTAAATGGAGCTGCATGGCCCTCCTCTGATCTAACCTAAAGAAGCAATAATCAAGTAAAGAGCATTTCAAATGAACATATTTTTAAGCCGACAAAGCATTGTAGCATCCTGTAGCATCCGCCTATTCAACTAGGGAAAATTAAATTAGCCTATAGGCCGTATAAGGCAGTTTATTTACAGTCTCATCTATTTTGTTCTCAAGACATAAGAAACTGTCGACTTATCGTCCAAATAATGCTCTGATTCCACAAAGGAAAAATGACCAAACAATGAGTATTAAGGTCCTTAGTTTCAAACAAAGAACTGGATTACAGGAAGAGTAGCTAGGAATTGACTGTCTCGTTTCCCCATGCTACTTTTTGGAGGAGCAACAGTTTATATGCAACAAAGAAGAAACGGCAGATTTGAAAAACTTTGTCTTGCAAAACAGCTGGGCAATGCATAGATGCAACATAAGTCACATCAAATTTAGCATGAAGCTTTCTGTGCTGGGAAAATGTTTGCTTAAGACTTTCATTAGATAGTAAAGAAAATGGTGCAGTCATTGTCATGGAGGGAGAGAAAGGCAGGGGAAGAATTTCAAACATCAAAAACTTCTCTGTTGTTTTATTACACTGCTACTCAGTATTATGGTGTTTAGTGGAATACATTTAGTTACCCACTTAATATGACCACCAGGTCAGCCACGATCTCTGCCTTTGGACTAAAATACAACAAAAAGCAGAATATTTATTTAAGGATCGGGCTGCAGTGTAATAATCCAAAACCAAAAAGTGCACCTCTGACTGCAGAACATACGAAGGCAGCGGCCTAAATGTCAAAGTCAAGGACTCAAAAATGATCTAGACCCAAACAGGTAACATTAAATTGGCTGTATCTGCTTTTTACATACAGTCTATGCTTCATCAAATTTCTGTCAAAAATGTGGAGGCATGACACAAAACATGACAAACATTACTAGCAAGAAAGCTGTGTTTTCAAATCATCATGAACAATAAAATAGTTTAAGAAATCTAAAGAAGTCAGTGTAAATGAGGATTTCCGAGATAGCTGAGCCTCTTGTCACGTCAGGCTTGAAACACATAATCTGATGGGTAGCAGCATGGAGGCTGAAATAACCTTGAAGCAGATATTGTCCAATTTCAGAGTTTTCCTTGAAACTAAAACTTCTCCTGTCTACAAACTTGGTGGAAAAAGGACAGTGAATAACTTCTGCTGCCTGAGGCGGTAGGAGGGAAGTTTGGTCTTAATAACATCAACAAAGCTAAAATCAATGGTGGCGCTGCAGTGAGCGCTGACTGGGTGTGTTCAACCGTAAAATGAGTGCACTTTAACAAGACACTGTTCAAAGTTCTCTGTTTAAACAATGATCCTTTGTACATAATGTCATTCCTGTGCAATCCCCATCGGGCTAAGCAACTCAGCAAAAAAAAAAAAAAAAAAAGATTTAGAGTATGAAACAGTTCAAGGTCTAGTTTACTGTAAATTGACATGCTGTTGCTTCAACTCCTCAAACATGGAAGCTCAGAGATCCTTCACCTACAAAGACTGAGATCTCAGTATCAGCTTTGAGGATGTTAACCTATCAATCGTTATAAAAAATATATAGACAAATAAATATAAAACCTGTGCTGCTCATTTAGCAAGACAGTTCCTGGTTTGGATTCTCACCTATAAATGAGCCTCTAAAGATGCAGTGAGCCACATTCATCAGCATTTACAAGAACAGACTCAGTAACAGAATATAACATTCAAAACATATGTCTAAATTTGTGCATAATTACCTGGTTATAAAAGACTATTTTGCTTAAAGTGAGCCTCATAGCAGGAACAGGCTCCCTTCCATAAAGGCCAGAATCCTGTACTGCAGCACAGACCAAGAGAACCACAGTGGCCATGTGAACTTACGGCGACTATGACAGGAGTGGTTCTAAAACAAATGGGCTTTGTGAAGGAAAAGATAGGTGCTGAAATTTTCCAAAATCGAGGGTGCACTAAGACGGAGATGAATGCTCGGGTCAGAGTCTCTTTGTTAAATTAAGTGGTAAAGTTGGCCCATGTGCCACAAAACAAGCATATCCAGCATCTTGTTTTTACCTTCCAGCATCTAACTAGCATTAATGGTGGCTTGATTTAATTACTTTTGTAGCTCATAAAGATGCATCAGTGTTTACTTTAGTCATTTTCACAGCCTATTAAAAACTCCTCACACATTATGTTTTATTTGTGTTATTACCCTCCTAACTGCTTTAGGGATGAGATGGGTCACATAAAACGGTTCAGTGTAACACTCACATTTTGATTAATTCAGCACCTTGCATTTCGATTGCTGTACTTTATGTATTGTCACAACATGCTTTAATTTTGAAGAGGTGTATATATTACTTCTTTTAGCAGGCAGAAACCTTGAGCAGTGAGCAGAACCAGATAAAAAATAGTTGTGTAAAATAGTCATCTGCTGCTACTGCATAGTGTTTTAAGAGGGGATAGAGGCAGATGCAGAAAGAGAGAGAGAGATGGACAGTCAAATGCATCACTCAGTTTGAGTATTTGCTGTAGAAGAAGTAAAAGAAGTACCCTCTTGAAGCACCTACAATCATCACAACTGCAGTTAAGAAACCATCATTTTATTGGTGACTCGTTTTTGTCTGTTCTTTTTATGCCCATTTAAAAACTCCTTACTGAGGCCTTGAATAAATAGATAAATAATACAAATTATTAAAAGGTGAGACTAACAATATGAGCTGTTTTTGGGCATTAGAGGCTGGGATATTTCTTAAACAGGTTGCTGACTCCCAGCGTGATGTTAATTTTTCTTATCTAAGGTTTGGAGTGAGCACAGATTACGATAAGAAGGAACAGTGTACTGAACCTTACACCTGGGAGTTTAAGGTGAGCTGCACACTGAGGACCCAAAGGATGAGGAGTAAATAATAATTTATTCCATTTATAACACTCAGAGGTTGAATATCCATTCAGTAATATTGTCTCTAAACATGTTTCAAAAGCACTGTCCTCGGGTTGTGTGTGTATGAGCGCTGTGTGTTTCCTCGCCTACTTCAGGAGGCGTTCAAAACTACAAGAGTGGGAGGGCTCTTTGGCAAGGCAGCACGTTATTTTGCATAGAGCTGTGTGCCCAGCCCTGCAGCCATGTAGGGAATGGCTGTAACTGTCATGGAAAAACACCTGGATTATATAAGGACAAAATCCCCCTCTTTGCTTTGGGACAGGCCCTGGGCCCTGACTGCTCACATCCTGATGGCCCCACAGGAGCCCTCCATATGCTCGCTATAATTTGATGACTAATTCTGTATTAGGCAAAATGACTCCCCAGATAAGAGAGGTGCTGCTCTTTTAAAACCGACATTACAGCATGCTTATGAAGGTTGGACCATGCGGTGCTTCTGATCCCTGCAGAGGCCTCCCCGCTGCAGGGATCAGCAGGTCCATTCATCTCAATTGCAGATCTGATGAGTGAGGAATGTCAGCCTGCAGTCTGATGCTGATAAATCATTGAGCACAATTAGGGATGTGTTAATGTAAATGTTCTCCTGCAGAAAATCAAAGAGGTAAAAAAAATGCCCCTGTTTTTGTCATGAAAACTATTTCCGTGAAACCTGAGCAGAGTGTAACTAAGAGGCTAGCTGTCACTGTCAAAAACCTGACAGGGCATGTAGTATTTGAGAAATATTTTTCTCACCTTCATTTTTTCTTTTTCTGTTTCTTTTTCTTCACGTAATAAACTTTGAGTACACTATAGGAATCTGAAAATCTCTCAAAGCAGTGGTTAGAAATGTTTGATTAGTCCAACAGCACTTAATCCTCAGCAAGCATTGCTCCATACTGCAGCTGCGGCCCGATTAAATCCTCTGCTCGGTATGGTATTTGTTAGTCGTAGTAATGCTGTGATAGAGTTACAAGGAAGAATGCGGCCAGAGTTCAAAGGGTTCTGAAGAGAGCAAGTTTCTTAGGAAATCAGGAGGGCCAAAGTGTGTGAGAAACCGTTATTCACATATTAATGTGTGTAATGTCCGATCAAAGATTAACTGCATGAATATTCCAAAATTCCTGATAAAAATACATCATGATAATGTGGTGTGTCCTCACTGCAGTAGGGGGCGCTGTCTTGGTGTTCTGCACCTCCAGGCTCCTCTTCCTCCTCAGCAGCTCCTTGACAGGGTCTCTGACCCGAACTCCCTGGTACGGCCTGGTGCGTGCCATCGCTGCCGATGGTGCTGAAAGGTACAAACACGAGGAAATAAAGGGAAAAGAGAGGGGGATGAAATAGTCTTTTTTTTTCACTAAGCCTTTTTTTTGTTACTTACATGGTTAGATGAGTTCGCAGAGCTTACGTAACTCAGATGAATCACTAAACGTTCATGTGGTCTGGCTCCATACTTGTGCTGGCATAAATTTGGACTAAGATATATGCCGATCAAAGCACCTAAACAATTTATTTTGATTTGTTGTAACAGCAACTATGATTGACATAAATGTCTCTGAAGCATCCACAGGGCAGAAGAGCCCGTCAGGAAAAGAGTCACAATTTCTATATTTCAGCACCATTTAAAAAATAGTTTCTGAAAGTGATGTTCGGTCGATTCATATTGGACTATACTTATATAAGTAAATCTATTTGTAATCAATTTGAATATATATGATAAATGTATTTAATTAGAGATGTCACATTTAGTGCTTTAATGATGTAAAATTCCGTGGACGCCACTACGTCCCTCCTAAATGAAGCATTTCTTATTCATGATGACTTGATTTTAGATAACAATCTAAATGCACCTAATCTTAATTATTTAAGCAAACTCAAAACGTACCTTTTTAGTCTTGTTTTTAACCAAATTTTATATCATTAACTTAACATTGTTTAAGTGTTTTAGCATTTATCTCTTTTTAGTTTTAATGGTAGGATCGACTTTTATTGAGCTATTTTGGTGTTCTTATTTTATTATCTTTTACTGTTGTTTTTATTTTATTTATTATTTCTTCAATTTCATTTTATGTTGCTTTGTTTTTAGATTTTAACCTAACCTGTAGTTTTTCCTTATCTTGAATTTTAAAATGGCGTTTGCTCGCTGCGCATAATCCTGTTTCTATGAAATTGAGCCCTTTTCAAGTTAATTCATTTGAATACATGTTTCTGTTGTGCTTAGATTGCGGGGTGGAAATGAAGGGTTGGGTTGGGGTAGATCCAGTTATTCTTTGTTTCTTTTTTTCCTCTGCTGTGCAAAGCACTTTGTGCCACTGGGTTGTGTATGAAAGTGCTTTACAAATAGAGACTGATTGATTGATTGATTAAACAATATAGACCTCACTACCTAACTGAGAGTTTTCTCACTCGCTCAGGAAAGATAAAAAAGGTGAGGGTATTGCGGCAAATCTCCTTGCATCCCATGGCTTCAAGGACATTGTGTAAGGGAATATTCATTCTTTAAATATCATTTTTTTATTTTAAGCTGTCCTCAAAGATAACTTTTTACAATTTACAGACCTCCTCTTTTATCTCAGAGTTTTCAGAATTACTTCCATCATCCATATAAAGTAAAAAAATGGTTATTCATTTAGGCGATTTTAACATCCATGTGGACGGCCAATCACACTCTTTAACTTCAGGATTTTTAAACTCAGTCAAGAGTATGAATTTTATTTAACATGTCACTCAGCTCACTCACAATAAAGGCTGCATTTTTTTACCTTGTTTTACCCTGTGGCAAATTGTTGAGTGAGGATACTCCTTCTGAATTATCACCTCCTGTCTGTGTTTTTAAACTACAGCAAACTACTCTACTCTTGATGTTACAGCCTGACAAAGTTGAAAATGAGTTAGACAGGTCCCTTTTAAATGCAACTATGACACAGATAAAAAGTTTGTCTCATTCCTGCCACCACTATAAAAGTTTTTTTAAGTTTTCCTGATAGAACCCGTGAGATCGTAGTAGTCTAATCAACACTTGAGCTATTCCCTCTTCTTGGGCAGATTCTGAATTTCTGTTGCACAGACGGGCTTAAGTGCTGCACAGTGGGGTTTATTATGGAGGTTAAAGAGCAGCTCTGGTGTTAAGTGCTGCAGGATATAAGTTAGGCGGTCATACAGTCAACAGGTACAACACTTGGAGGAGTGTGAGGAGTGTGCTACAAACACAGGGTGTGTCGCCCATCACAGCGAATGATTTGTAACAGCTGAAGTGCAGAGGGCAGTGGGTGAGTTCAGCTAACGTAGATTAAAATGACAGGTCAGCCTGTATCTGGTTCAATCTGGTTTGTGTTCTAGGATGAGTTGAGACGATGTATTCAGACTACAATATCTTCTAATGGTGAGATTATTCTGACATTTATCTTAGCCCTTGATTTCCTCTCTCTTTTAAAAGTCTTTTATCTTTAAAAAAATGTGATTTTTGATTTTGATGGCGCTCCACATCAACAACAAAAGACCCCACCAGGGAATAAATTCTGTTAATGCACACTCAGAATAAATGCTGCAGTCAGGATCTTTGAACTGAAACCCAGATGAAGCACAGTTGTTTTGAAAAGCAATCACACTTGAGCACACACAGACTGACAAACACTGCACACCAACAGAAAAGAGGAAGCTCCACAGCTGTGCACGGTTTTACTCTGGTGCAGGCCTGAAACCATTTTTGCATATCTTGATTAAAGCCCAATGGCGGCATGCAGCCAACTTCCAAAAAGACCATCTTCCTCTTTCCAAAATAAATGTTAACAGCTTCAGAAAAGATCCAGACAATTCAAAACAAGAGGAACATTTACAGAGAGGGTTTTGAACTCGAACTGTCCTCCCGAATGAGATGTAGTACGGGAGAGAATTAAGTTCAATAAAGTCTTAATTTTACATTTCTCATCAAGAAAGTGTCCAGTTAGTTATGAAAAATAAGAGCGATAAACCTGAGTGTAGCTGAAGTCCAACCACCGACCTTCTGACATGTAGTATTCAAATCCAACCTTGATATAAATCAAGTTTGGCAATACATGAACAAAAGCCTATTTTTATCATTAAAGCCTTTTTTTTACGTTGATATGTTTCGATAAAAAATCTGCTGTTGCTCGCTTATATTTGATCTTGCTTGGTAAAGCACTTCAGGTCGTGTCCTTGCGTAACAGGCAGTCCAAAAACATCAAAAGTATAGTTGTTGAAATCACAAAAAGAGACAAAAAGCGAGCACTGTTCTGTTTAACTCTCCGATAAACAACCTAATATCAACTCTACATTTTTGTTTTTTGCCCTGTCATGCAAACAGTGGTAAAATAACATTTCCCCAAGTCAAAATCCAGGCAAATTTAAGATTACCTTGCAAATGACACAGTTTCACTTTGGAAAAGACGTTCTGTAAACACCCCTGAAGTTCAGTTGTTTGGGTTTATAAAAGTGTAGTACTTACTTTTCTCCCAGTGCATCCTTCTTATCCAGATTTTAAAGTAAAGCAAAGAAAAATCTAAGTGGCGGGCTGACTGACGATCTTTATAACAGCCTGAAGACGGCCAACTATCCCCCTGAGATCTCACAGCTTCTCTAACCACACATCTCCCTCCTGCAGATACTTTCAGAGCTCAGAAGATGGTTTAAGATCTGTCCTCACTGCAAACACCTGTTTGAGTGTAGCACTTGAAAAAATCTTAAACATCCTGTGGTCGATCGTATTAATACTTGATATAGCCACAGTGACAATCACATTTTTTTTCTTCGACGTATATGTGAGGTTAGGTGTCAAAGGGGATTCCTTGACTTTTGGAGTGAGTCTCTAATGCACAGACAAGAAATTGCAGTTTTTTGCACTTCAACATTGGCCTTATTTTTTAACACTGCCAGTCATTGATTCAGGAATGTAAAACAAAGGTTAGATATGTTATGATATGTTATGCACTGATTCTGGCAAACCCTCACCCTTCATTCACTTTGTAAATCCCCCCTGAAGAGAGTCAAAGCAACAATTCAATAATTGACTTTTTCATTCTACTTGTGTTGTCAGTATTACCGTTAAATAAGGTTAAAGCAGATTTCACATGTTTTACACTAAAGGCATTCACTTGAAGAAGATGTACAAAAGCCTAAAAGTATACCAGTTTAATTCAGTTTAAATTAAAAAAAAAACCACACACAGTCACTTCACAATCATCTAGAATAGTTAATATGAGAGCTCATGTCTTGCTTATGTTGTAATTAAGACTAGGGATGTTCAAATGATCTAATACTCTTTCAGCACTCAACACAGAGTATGTTTTTATAAGTGCGATCCTGTAATCATGCTGGGCCGACATAAGAATGATTTAAACCTTCCAACTGGATCTGTCTGGCTGCCATATCTGACGTTGGCATTTCAAATTGGCGAGGATGCCAAACCTGGCCTGTTTCAGCATGTGAACAGAGAAGTAATCCAGATCATGGTGTTTGTAATGCATGCTCGGGAGATCTTGGTAAGAGACAAGAGGCTTTGTTTTAGCTTAATATCACAGCTGGAAAAATAAAAGGAAGTCAGCTTCTTTAAAGTTCATGGGCTGGTCAAAAAAGTACCAAGGTACCAACAACAGAGGCCAATGAAAGACCTCTGATTAGCTGGAAAAGGCGGCATAGATACAGTGAAGCTTAACTTCAGGCCTAAGTTGGGATGACAAGATAACAAAGACAACAGGTTGGGGTTTGAGAGTTGGAAAAAGTAAATCTACAAAACCCATTTCTGGAGGTTTTTGAATCCAAGGATTATACTGGCTGTTTAAAGGGTTCACAAGACTGAGTAGGTCCAGATTTGAAGACTGCATTGGTTGCAGGATCAGTTGAGCGGTCTTACTTTTATGCTGGTCTTTTAAAGGGACATTGGATAAGTGAAACCCAGTGCTCTGCGTGAGATAACTTTTCAAATGCAAACTTTCTTATTAGAATGATGATGACAACAGTAGGGTGCTGGACAAGCAGCAATCTATAGACTTGAGAATTGAAGCTCATGCTTAAAATACAAAAAACTGCAGTACCTCAAATGTCCACTTGGTGCCAGCTCCAGGAGCAATAGACCACATACACACCCATGTAAAAAAGAACATTTTAACAGCAAAAATAAACATCTTTAAAGTCTGATATGAAAACAGTTCTGAGTAACTCACTGTCTATCTGTACACACTGTACAGGGGTTAGATTTATCAAAATTCATCAGTTTTGAAGATACTAACTTTATGTGTTTGGCAACTTAAAAGCCCGAATGACTTGACTGAAAGGCAGCCACTGCAGCTGTTATGATAGAGGCTCAGCTTCACCTCTTTGCCTCTTAGTAGAGATAAGGTAAGATAAGATAAGCTAAGATATTCCTTCATTCTTCCCACAAGGGGAAATTCCAAATTTAAAGCAGCGATAAATACAGGAGAGAAATTAAAGAATGAAGAAACTTAGAGTTTAAAAAGATAAATACATGAGTATTATTTACAGCTGTGATGCACATGATGATATATTACAGTTGAAAATGGAGATAATTATATGTATGACTATATACACAGAATAAGCATACGTGTGTACAGAATATAAATGTGTACAGAATATACACATTAATATGGTTTAAATATGAAATATACATATAGATATAGTAGGTCCACTGAAAGTCGTGTTAATTCAAAGACTAAATTTCAGGAACCAGTGGTTGACTTCACAAAGAGTGCACTGATGTTTGATACAGTCCATGGTGTTGCGTCGGCTGGAAGAGATTGGGTTGGTGGAGCAGGTGCCCCTTGTATAGAGGCCAGAGTTTCTTTTTGCACAAGTTGAAAGTTTGACTTCCTAACATTTTGCCATTTGGCACATATCAAACCCAAGTGTCTTCATCCCCACATATTCTGTCTTTCTTTGGCTTCAACTAAAAGCCAAAATAATCTTAAAATAATCTCAGTAACTTGAAACATAATCTTACAAAAAACTTACTGACATTTCAAAGGGAAAGGAGCAAAAGTGAAGCTTTATATTCTTCTTTTTTTAGTCCTGTAAACACCCATATACCCCAGATTGTAGGGTTGTGATGGTATGGCAGATTTCACAGAATTGCAACAACAAAGTGTCCTGATACCACTGTAGATCCATGGAGGTGTCAGAACTGTAGGTCTTCTTGGCAGTGAAGTGTGTTTTTTTTTTCAGCTGCAGTGAAGCAGAGTGGAGGAGAAATGTGACTACTGTCGATACTGTCGTCTCATGTGTGCCTCAAACAACCATCCAAGCCTAGTAACTGTCACAATGCCAGAGCTCAAGAGATCACACAAATGAGACCTGGACTTGATCAAGACCAAAGCAGTTATCTTCATCTTCAAATTAACAGGATGTACATCTGTTCAACTCTAAAAGCTTTTTCAATCTTTGGTGGAACCAAAAACTGGTCTGTGATGGTCTCTCTGAAGAAGGAAACACCTGCATGTACGTCAGGGTTCACTGACCAGAAACGCACCAAAACCACACGCAGAAACTTAGACAAGCTGCATCTTTCAGGGCTGAAATGAATGATTTTCTTTCTTGTTGCTATGTTGGGATGTCTTTTAGTCTGCAGGAGTTACAAAGCTGATTAAATGACACCTGCTTGTGTGCCTTGTGATAAAGTTATAATCTTTTGCCTGAACAGTGCCTGGTGATGCTCCCCAAGCTGTGAGCGTTATGCTGAGTTTTTGAATGATCAGAAAACGAGTCAGAAAAAAAACCTTACCTCTTCACACAGGGCTTCATGGCAGTTCAAGAGTGTTTCTTCCTTTTATTTATCAACAGACTTTTGTATGCTGATGGATTCTGTGTGTGTGCAGTGAGTGATGCAAAGCAAGGCCGTCTCTATAGATGATGCAAAGAGGGGAGAGCCTCTGTTACAGTTTGTAACTTATGAAAATGGTTCATTAAAATAGCTGCAGCATGGATTTGTTTTTATTGTCAAAGAAAGTAGCCTCACAGTTTGTGAAAGGGAGAGATGCTCAGAGGTCCACATAGTCTTAAAAACACAGATATTTGTGTGTAAAGACTCTAGTAAAGGTAAAGGTATGCTAATAAAGGTTCTTTCATGGTTTAAGTGGAAATGTGGGCTTGTAACTGTGTGGAAAAAACACCACTACAATGAGTTACAGAGCTTTAAAGGGAAATTCCGGCTGAAATAAAGTTAAGGTCAAACACATTGTAACACCGAGTTAGACACCCAGTCGAGAGATGAATGTTGCCGACCGCTAGCTTCTCTAGTTTTACCAACTTAAGTAACGACCACAGGATAGCAATACACAGCGGTCTGAGGAGCCATAAACAAACCTCAACCAAAACACCACTCCACTTATGCTGGAACATCCCTTTAAGACAGAAAAGAGAAGTCAAAGGCAGATTGCACCTTTTACAGCCAAGAAGGGTTTTAAAAAAGTTATAAAATGTTTAACTTGTTGTTCACCAGTAGTATTTCAGTAAATGAATCTTCTTTTTCCACTTTCAGCTCATAGCAGTTGTGGCTGCTTGTGACTTGGGGGAAATTGGTCTTTTAGCTTTCATAGATCATGATATGAATAAACCCAGTTTAATGTTCAGCTAAATTGACCTCCCATTTGCCCAAAGTACAGTTACAAAGCATTTGAAACCTTGTTGCTTCCAACCTCTGGTAGAATAGAGGAGGTTTAAAAAAAGTCCAGAAACAAGTAAAAGAGAAAGATGGAGTCATTTGTCTATAAAGGTGGCTGAGTCATTTCTCACACTGTCTCACTGGTCAGTTAGGCCTGTAGGCTGAGTCTTAACACAGATGGTATCTCCTCTGCTTTCACTTCACTAATCACCATCAGAACAAGGCCCAGACAATCACAGTGGATCCACCTAACCTCACGGGTCTTGAAGTGTACCTAGTGTGGTTCATCATCCCCATCATGATTTTTATCAAAAGGCAAATGGTTTGATGTCTTTGTGGATCTCTTTAGAAGTTTTTCATTCATGTTTGAAGTGCTGAGTTTCATAACATGACTCATTTTAGATAATGACTCATTTTAGGAGTGAAGACAAAAGAAATCGGTATTTACTTTTCAGAGCAAACAAGTCGGCTCTGATAGGATCTGAATTGAGAGAAACTGCCTGGGGACACTGCAGTAGTCACACAGTCCTCTAGGGGGCCCTGAGAGCTGCCTCACTCAGTTTAACAGAAAAATCTCACAGAACAGTACCAACAGATTTTACAATTTTATTGCAGTCATCAGAAAATAAAGAAGTTAGAGTGTACCTGCAAAGAGAATATGGAAATGAGGCAGACTTTGATAGCTGACAGATGATGTCTCTCAAAATGAACCTCAAAGGCTAAATTTTCCTTAAAGCTATAAGTCAGTATATATTTATCTGCCAACAGCCTCACTTTGGCTGCAGTCCAAAGCTGACAATTAAGTTATCATGACAAAAGACAAATGTAGAGATAGATGGCAGTTTATCGCAAAAAAAAAATTCAAGAGAATAAACTAATGTTCATGCCTCTTTTTCAGTGTCTAAAACTGCCATGTGGACAGATAACATATTACTTAAGATATTTAAGGGATAGTTTGGTGTTTTTAAAGGGAAATAACACAAGTTACTTTTTGAATGTAAATGTATTAAAC